TTTATGAAAGAACTATAGGGGCTCTTTTATTAAATTTTATCTAATTTCCATATTTTCTCCATTATACGAATATTCTTTTTAATTTTTTTTTATTTTATGTATATGTGGTGCCTGAGTGTGTTTCTGTACACCACATGTGTTCAGGAGCCCATGTATGACTGAAGAGGACATCAGATCCTCTGAACTGGAGTTACAGACAGTTATGAGCTGCCATGTGAGGGCTAGGAACTGAACTCAGGTTCTCTGCAAGAGAACTCTTTTTTTAATTTATTTTTTATTTTATAATTTAATTTAATTCTACATATCAGCCATGGAGTCCCTTGTTCTCCCCCCCACCCCGCCTTCCCCCCAGCACACCCCCCATTCCCATCTCCTCCAGGGCAAAGACTCCCCTGAGGATTGAGTTCAACCTAGTGAGCCATCTCTCTAGCCCCTATAAAAAATTCTTTAGTGAACAGAAAAATGTTATATTTAAGCTATATAAAATATTATAAAATTAGAGTAGAAAAACTGCCTGGCCTTTGAAATATTTTCTGATGTCAGGGTTACATAGCTATTTCAAGAGAAAATTAAAATAATATGTAAAGTTGACATATGAGAGGCCTGCATATAAAGTACACATATGTACATATACTAATATAAGTAGAAAATGGACTTAAATTAGTATCAAATACAAAGAAGACTATTGATGAGATGATGGAAATCCTAAGAACATGCTATTAGTATTTAAATTTTTTAAAAAGAACAATTATTACTGTGACTCCTTTTGTTTTCAAAAGTTGTATTTGAACTGCTTTCAAGATGTGTGCTTATTTGTTTGTGAGTCCAGGGCCTTATATCTTCTACTGCTGTTATAATAATTCCTGGAAAGGATTTAGGAAAAATAATAGTTCATATCTTATATAAAAGAAAATTCATTTCCCTGATGACTAAGGATGTTGAACAATTTTTCAGTGTATTTCAGCTATTTGAGATTCTTCTGTTAGGAATTCTCCGTTTAGATCTGTATCCCATCTTTTAATTGGATTATTTGGTATTTTGATGTCTAGTTTCTTGAGCTCTTTAAATATTTTGGAGATCTGCAGCCCTCTGTCACATGCGGGATTGGTGAAGTTCTTTTCCCATGCTGTAGGCTGCTGCTTTGTCTTACTGACAGTGTCCTGTGCCTTATAGAAGGTCTTCAGTTTCAGGATGTCCACCATTTATTAATTGTTGATCTCAGTGTCTGTGCAAAATGACTCTGAGATACCATCTTATACCTGTTAGAATGACTAAGATCAAAAACACTTATGACAGCTTATGTTGGAGAGGATGTGAAGTAAGGTGAACATTCCTCCACTGCTGGTGAGAGTGAAAACTTATACAACTACTTTGCAAATCAGTATGGCGGTTTCTCAGAAAAATGGGAATCAATATACCTCAAGACCCAGCTATACCAGTCTTGGGCATATACCCAAAGGATGCTCAATCACACCACAAAGACACTTGCTCAACTATGTTCATAGCAACATTATTCATAATAGCCAGAACATAGAAACAACCTAGATGCCCCTCAAACCAAAGAATGAATAAGGAAAATGTGGTACATTTACACAATGGAATATTATTCAGCTGTAAAAAAAAAATGACCTCGTGAAATTTACAGGCAAATGGCTGGAACTAGAAAAAAAATCATTCTGAGTGAGGTAACCCAGACCCAGAAAGACAAACATGGCATGTACTCACTCATAAATGGACATTAGGAGTAAAGTACAGGAAAAACAACCTACAATCCACAGCCCCAGAGAGGCTAGATAACAAACAGGACCCAAAGAGGGATGCATGGATTTCCCTGGGAAGGGGAAATAGAAGAGATTTCCTGGGCAAACTGGGGGCAAGGATGAGGGAATGGGGGCAATGGGAACTGGAGGGAGTGGGTTGGGCAGGTTGGGTGCAGGAGGTGGGCTGGGGGCGAGACAGAGAGGAAAGTAAAGAAAGAGACACCCTGATGGTGGGGAGGTGGCATTTCAGGGTTAGAGAGAAGCTTGGTGCCAGGGAAACTCCCAGGAATCCACAAGGATGACCCCAGCTAAGACTCCTAGCAATAATGGAGAGGGTGCCTGAACTGGCCTTCTCCTGTAACCAGATTGGTGACTACCCTAATGGTCATCAGAGATATTCTATCTAGCAACTGATGGAAGCAGATGCAGAGATCCACAGCCAAGCACTGGGCCAAGTTCCCAGAGTCCTCCTGAAGAAAGGGAAGAGGGATTGTATGAGCTAGGGTGGTCAAGGTCATGAAGGGGGAATCCACAGAGACAGCTAACCTGAGCTCCTGGGAGCTCATGGACTCTGAACCTGATAGGAACCTACATGGGACCGACCCAGGCCCTCTGCCTGTGTGTGACAGTTGTGTAGCTTGGTCTGTTTGTAAGGCTCTTAGTAATGAGATCAGGACCTGTCCCTAGTACTTAGCTGGCTTTTGGGAACCTGTTCCCCATGCTGGATTACCTCGAACAGCCTTGACACGGGGGGGGGGGGGGGGGGGGGGGGGGGGGGGGGGGTCGGTCCTACCTCAACTTGGTGTGTCATGCTTTGTTCAAGCCTATGGGAGGACTGCTCCTTTCTGAATGGAGAAGGAGGAGTGGATGTTGAGGGTGGTAGATGGCAGTGTGTGAGGGGGAACGGGAGGAGAGGAGGGAGGGGAAACCATGGTTGGTACGTAAAATAACTGAAAAATGTTAATTAAATAAAATTAAATTTAAAGAAAGAAAATTCATAAATTTTGTATTTATAAACCATCATGAAGTTCCCATGCAGCTAATGGCTACTGAACATACTCCTCACCTATTTCAGCAAGTCAATGTTCTAATAATTGTTACAAATTAATATTTTTTAAAATTGAGTTTGTAGTTTTGTTTCCACAGTACTTTACTAGTATTTTGTATTTCCTTATGGCCTCTAAGTTTTAGGGCATGGATTATTACAAATTTTATTTTGTAGTTGACTAAGCAGATAAAAATATGTATAACACTGATATAAAAACATCTTTGAAATCATTAATCCTGTTAATTACTATATAAAACGTAGGTTTGTAGGGTAACAGAACAATTAGGTCTGAGACTTTACAGTTCATCTAAATGAGGGAGGAGCTTCCATCTCACACTTGTATCAGCTTCTTCATGAACACTTCCCAGCTCCTGTTCCTTCGAAAGTTCTAAAAATACCTAAACAGGAGACAAAGCAGGAACATGATTACTGAGCTGTCCGTTGTCCTCCAAACCAACAGGGAAGACCCATGCTCCTTTCATGAAATTTATATTGATGACACAAAGTCAAACATGTTGACTCACTTTGTCCAGTGTACACTGAGAGAGGCTGTATTCTTCCAGGTTAAAGCTATTCTTCACTGAAAAACAGATAAATCAATAAAAGACATGAGCATAGAATTACAGTTTATTGTCAAGAAAAATTTCAAAGTCATATACACAAAAATGAAATTATTAAAATGAATAAAAGATAAATTGAATAAATAAATGGAGGACAGAGCAATGCCATGAAGTTTATATGGAGTTCACATAGGAGGAGTCATGTAGGGTTTCTACAGATTAAGTGCTGGATTTGAAGGGTTTTAGTAAATATTTTCAAATAGAGGTTGCATTAACAAAAAGTTAATATGAATGCATACCAAATTCATCTTAGTACTGGGATTTTCTCATACTGTATTTTGCTAATCTTTGCTATTTAGTACATATATCTTTGGGAAATATGTATTTTCTTTGAGGAACCACACCATTGATGAAATGTTCTTACATATGATGAAGATTTCACTGCATACTCTTTGAGAGAACCCAATCAATATTCCCTTCAGTGGTCATCTACATTATCAGGTCTCCACTGGGGACATCAGGAGATCAACATGACAGTTGTCATTAGATTCAGATACTCACTTGTTTGAAGTTTACCACTTATATAGTGGGAATCTTCAGTGTGAGAGGCACTCTTAGATGCCAGTCACAGAACAGTAAGGGGAAGAGACAAAACCCTTGGCCTTTGTCTGTGCGTTTCAGCAGGAGAAATGTGGGCATTATATTCATATGCATTTAAATGCATAATAAAATAAATGGTAAGTGAAACTATGGAGAAAAATCAAAACAAAACAAAAACTTACCACATACTCTTTTTATATAAAACCATTGAGGAAGTTATAGTAATAATTTGATAATTTAGCAGAATCCTAAAAATATGAAGAAGCAACAACCTAAATATTTAGGAAACATAATTTCAAAAAGAAGAATGAGCAAGTGCAGAGTCCCAGAGCAAGAGCATATTTGACTGGCAACAATTAGGAAGAGCCAAGAAGCCAGCTGTTAAGAATGGACACAAGCAGAGATTAATATGATCTCAAGGACAATGAACCACTGTTCTGGGCACTTAGCAAATTAACTCCTTTACTCCTAATGACCTTGCAGAGAGGACACTGATAATGTCCATCACTATAGAGATAAGCTATATATAAAAATGCAGGGATTGGGTAATTTTATCTAATGTCTCCCAGCTAGCAAGCAGCAGCACTGTGATGGGAACCCAGAAAGACTAGCTTCAGGGTTAGAGCATTACAGCAAATTACACAATGATGATCTGCTTCTGGGAACAATCTAGCTAGCTGAGAGTAAGACAGACAAACAGATGGATAGGGTTAGTAGCAAGAGGAGTTCAATCAAAGAATGACCTTAGCTGTCATTGAGTAACAGAAAGTTAAGTCCATCAGCACAGACAGAACAATGTTGGTAAGTGGTTCCTATTGCTTTCACCTCATCAGTAATCTGAGCACATCAGTGAGGGAGGAGGTGGGATTGGGGTAAGAAGAGTGAAGCAATCACTTAGGGTACTTGATATGAATGGAATATGAACACAGACAAGGCAGGCCATGGTCATGGTTTTTCCTGTGTTAATGCGGATGTGAAGGGAGAAGAGCTAAGCTCCACTGTGTTTCCTCTACAGCTCCAGTCCCCACTGCAGATGAACCTCCTTCCAGAGAGCTGGATTCATCACCATTAGAATTCTTTTTTTTTTTTGGTTTTTTCGAGACAGGGTTTCTCTGTGTAGCTTTGCGCCTTTCCTGGAACTCACTTGGTAGCCCAGGCTGGCCTCGAACTCACAGAGATCCACCTGGCTCTGCCTCCCGAGTGCTGGGATTAAAGACGTGCGCCACCACCGCCCGGCTAGAATTCTTAAAATCAACACCTGGCAGGGCCTATTTATAAATGTATTGCACATCTACCCTTCATTAAATTATTCTCTAAGTCCTTTAAAAGTTTGTCCTTACCTGCTTCTAGTTTATGAAAGGCCTGAGACAGAGGATAAACATCTGTTATGGGTAGCTTGTAGGTCAACAAGGAGAAATACCTGGGAATAGGAACACATTGTATTCAACCTGTGTTTCAAGGTGGGAATGATAAACATCAGAATAAATCTTTGTATCATCAACCATTTCTTTTTAAAAATAAAATTGGGCCAGGCAGTGGTGGCACAGCCAGGTGGTGGTGGCGCACCCCTTTAATCCCAGCACTCAGGGAGACAGAGCCAGGCGGATCTCTGTGAGTTCGAGGCCAGCCTGGTCTACAGAGTGAGATCCAGGACAGGCACCAAAACTACATAGAGAAACCCTGTCTCAAAAAACCAAAAGTAAATAAATAAGTTAATAAATAAATAAATTAATTAATTAAAATAAAATTGGCAGAAGGTAAAAATAGGTTAAATGTGAAACCAAATTATTTACTAATAAAAACTTGAAATAACTGAAGAGAACTGGCTGTTGTAGACATCTCTAGTAACAGCAGAGTATTACTATTTATATTCTTACATAGCCCATTTAACTCAAACTGTTTTCTTGTTAGAATAGAAGTTCTAAACTACATCCTTAGACCAGTCCAAATTAGTCTGGAAAATAACTTCAAATGAGTTCAGTATTTGTCACCCTAAAGCTAACTCCTGATCAGAGATCTGAGGCTGGGGAGAAGGCAGGACAGTTGTGGAAAGATGTCAAAACCCTGGAGCCTCTAAGGAGCAGCCTGGTCTAGGGCATTTTCCTTTCTGGTGCTGCTTCCGACAGCACCCTTTGCCACTGCCTCAGCTTGCTCCCAGATTAACAGTGCAGTGTTCCCACGTGGCAGTAAGACTGAGCAGACCTCCAGGGCTGGCTGTCTTCAGACCAGACTCCCCTCTTCCTTTCTCACCATTCATTATATTCCCATGTGTGTGTGTATATATATATGTATCTTTAACTAGTGATACTGAAAGTTTAAGAGTAAGAGCAGGTTTTGGAATATACCTTAATCATTACATTTATAGTGTGAAGATGAGAATAACAGTTTTGTGTCTTGTTTCTCTGATGTGTTTACCTCTCAAATTTTAAATTCAGTAGCTGCTTTATCATCTTGTCCTGCTCCTAATAACACACAGGTACACACACACACACACACACACACACACACACACACACACACACACACACACGAAACAAGTTTACATATGTGTTGTGGGATGTTCTGTATGGCAAATGTGTTGCTAATTAGTCAATAAATAAAACACTGATTGGCCATTGGCTAGGCAGAAAGTGTAGGCAGGACAAGGAGGAGAATAAAGCTGGGAAGTGGAAGGCTGAGTCAGAGAGACATTGCCAGCTGCCACGATGACAAACAACATGTAAAGATGTCGGTAAACCACGAGTCATGTGGCAAGGTATAGATTAATGGAAATGGATAAATTTAAGCTGTAAAAACAGTTAGCAAAAAGCCTGCCATGGCCATACAGTTTGCAACCAATATAAGTCTCTGTGTTTACTTGGTTGGGTCTGAGGGGCTGTGGGACTGGCAGGTGAGAGAGATTTGTCCTGACTGTGGGCCAGGCAGGAAAACGCTAGCTATACATATGCATGTGCACATACATACACTCCTGCATAGTCTCCATTTTGAATCAAGAAAATTCTATTAAAGAAAGACCCTTCATCTTTGTTTGCTATTTTCTGGAGGAAAAGACACGAGTTTCTGTGTAGTTAGCAAATCTTTTATCATCTGGAAGACTCAACATACCTCTTTTTGAGGTCCCTGACTAGTACTGTGTTGCTCAATCAGCAGTGTTAGCACAGAGATAACAGAAACCACAGAGTGTGGAAAGCATACATAATTCTCCACCATTAACAGCTCTCTTCACCTTTCCTGATGTGCGGCCTGTGGGAACAGTTTCAGAATCTCCCCATGGACTAATGGCACTTGAGAAGTTTCATTCACTTTTAGTTCTAGAATGTAATCCTTGCCAAACTTCTTTTTCAGGTGCTGGATTGAACCAATGCATCTATGAGTAGGAAGAACATGATGAGGGAAAAAAAAACATTGTCATTAAATTTTTGTATTCTTAAATGTCAGAGATAGCAGAAATGGTGTCAGTGGGGAAGGCAAAGCGAAGGAACTAGCTGCTAACAGTGAGTTGCTCTTTCTACAAGCAATCCTAAATCAGGCTCTGGAAAGACACCCACCTCAGCCTTCCAGACACCATGATGGCCACTCGGTCACACAGAGCCTCAGCCTCAGCCAGGTCATGGGTAGTCAAGAGGACACCCTTCTCATTGTCTTTAACAGCTGCCTGGATTGCCTGCCTGGAGTGAGCAAAAATTAATAGAATGAATTTAAAACCAAAAGTAAAGAACAATAGGAAAGATTAAAAAAGTGGGGAAATGTATAGATAGAATACAGTTTACAAATCATATTCATGTATTCAGAAACACCAGGGAAATAAATGCTGACTACTTTTTTTTAATACAGAGAATTTTTTTAATATTTTAGGTATGTCCATGGTATTACAATTAAACTTTAAAAAGAAGCTTCCTTGTCTTTTATAAATGCTAACCAAAATAATGATGAATAAAAAGATTTGCTGCTTCATACTTCCTTTAATAGAAGCTGCAAAAGGAAATGGGTTGAGAAATAGAAATAGATGAAAAGAAAGTTGGTCTTCTAGTAACAATGATTGAAACTGAGTGATAGGTATAATGGAGTCATAAATAAGTCTTTCAACACTTGCATTAAATAGTGATAACAAAGGTTTATTTTAAATGGGAGAGAATACTGGATAATCATGAATATGAAATTAAATCAGAGGTTTTATTAGTCAAAAGGGTGATTCACATGCAAGAAATGGGAAAATACTAAACTGATATAAGTTAGATAAGTAAATTTGGCAGATGTGGAAAAAAGGAAATTATGTCAGTAAGATGAGGGTCTTTAGGAAAACAGTCTAAGCAGTAAAATAAATTGTTACAGAATTCTCAATAATTAAAATACAAAATTAAAATTATTATTAAGCCCAAAACTGCAGAATGTGGAGCATTTTGGATCATCCACTTGTTAAACATTTGCTTTCCTAATAACATGAACTATCTCTGTAGATAAGAGTTTGTGTCTTGAGGGTCACCTAAAGGTCCATATACCTAAAGTATTGGTCCCCAGATGGTGCTGTTAGGGGGTGATAGAATCTTTGAGTTGAGGTCTAGGTGGATGCTTTCAGGACATCAGAGCCTCTGTAGGGGATTCTGGTGCCTCAGTGTCTTTCTCATGCTCTTGCTCCTTGACTTATAAAGTGACCAGAGCTATCATGTGTTCCTGCCACGGCATGCTACCTGACCACAGCCTCAGAGCAACGAAGTCAACCAAATATGGACTTAAAGCCACAAAACTTCAAGCTCAAACAAATCTTTCCTCTTGGTAAGTTGATTGCCTGAAATATTTGCTACAATAGCAGCTGATATGATGTTAGTACATACCAGATTTGTATCACTATGATAAAATGCCTGGTATAATCAACTCAAATGGAGAAGTTTATTTTGCATTTAAATTTCAGATATTCTAAGCCATGGTTGAATAGATCCATTGCCTTGAACCTGTGGGAAGGCAGAACACCATGGTAGTGAATGCCACAGGGGAAATACGACTGCTTTCTTCAGGACCAGAGGCCCAATGTCTTCTTCAAGGTCATCTTAGCTTCCCTACACTAGGCTCCACCTCCTAAGGGTGCTAGCTAGCACCTCTCAGTAGCACTATTGTCTGAGGAGCAAACCTTCAACAAATGGGCCTTTAAAGAACATTTATTGCCAAGCTATAGCCCCTAACTAATACCATTTCCCCTGCTTCAGGAACCAGTGGATTTGTTGCAGTTTTACATGTTTACTGCTGTGGGGCTGGGACCTCTAAGAATGCTCACCACATTTGCTGCTTCCCAGACACATCTAAGCCTGTAGAAGGTTCATCCAGAATCAGGACAGATGAATTTCCCAGGATGCTCAGCACAAAGCACAGCTGCAATGCAGGAAAAAAAAAAGTCCCCTGTTTGCTTCCATACCACATAAGCCCTCAAAAGAACACTGGACACCACACGTACCTTTCTAGTGTCTCCTGCAGCTAGTTTCTGCACTAGGACATTCAGCTGGTCATGTAGTTTAAAAGCATTCACTAATCTGATAGAAAATAAGATGCAAATATCACACTAAGAGAGAACTTAGAGAAAAAGAATCACCCATAATTATAAGAATATTGGAGAGAAGCATAGCACTACTGTTCTCCAAATTCTCCAAATAAAAAAAAAAAAGTTGTTTCATTTTTTTGCCTCCTGAAATAGTTTTTTCATTATAATTCTGAATGAGAAACTAAACTGATGTTTATTCCATTTTCTCACTAGAAACCTGAAAACAGTGGTTATTCATGAGAAGAGACTTACTCATTCTTTGTCAACTAATTTATTCAATGATTTTTAAGCTCCCACACTGAGTATGTGGAGAGTCAGGTGTTGTCTCTCATTTCTGTTCGACCACCAATGCTCTGAAAAGGTAGAAATGCCTTTCCACTCCTGTTCTTCATTAATAAATTCATTGTGAGTAGTGCCTCCCCACCTCTTGACAAAAAGGAAGGACACAGCCCTTCTGCTATACCTTGAAATGGCGATGACAGCATCCTCTTTCCTCAGCCCTTTAACAGCAGCATACAGCTCCAGGTGTTCTTTCACTGTCAGGATGGGCCACAGCACGTTCTCCTGAGGACAGTATCCAAACTTGACTGTGCCATCACCATGGAAACCCACAGCTGAGCTAAATCCTTTCAGTTCCACCTAGAAGAGGAAGCAGCTTCACTGATGGTATGTGAGGCCTTTTCTCCACACAATCTAGAAACTGACATGCAGCTGGTAAACACCTGAACTATTAAAACAACAAGAACATGTCACAGAAGCTGATCCATTTGTATCACAGAAAACAATGAAATCTGCTAATATATGAGCATTATTTCACATGTGAGTGGGGTAGCAAAGATGTACAAATTCAGGCGGTACCTAAGAACCTGTGGTGTATAACAGGTACTTGGCTCCTGGTAACATTCCAATTCCTATTATAAACTTTTAAATACCATCCAAAACAATAAAAGGAAAAATATGTATATCCAAAATATCAATAAAAGTCTTACAAATATATAACCTATATTTATTATGACTATTTTTTTGGAAATGGAAACAAACAATTTCTTAATTTTTTATTACCTCTCCAGCTGCTGGCTTTGTGATCCCAGCTATCATTCTAATAGAGGAACTTTTACCAGCACCATTGGGTCCTAACAATCCCAAAATTTCACCTGAAAGAAAGAATAAGATTATCAATTTGGGAAATGAAATGCAGGTTTATAGTTTTTCAGTGAAATCTTGAGAGGTCTTTAAAATTCTCAAATAGAGTAATTCTAACTTAAAACATACACAATATATGTCATGAAAACATATTAGTTAATTCTCATCATTTAAATTTTATTAAAAGCATATTAATTTCACATTGACACATCAGCCCCCCAAGATTTTCTATTTCCATTATTTCCCATAGTGTATGTATACCTGTGTGTCCATGCAAAAGATTTCTAGACCTTAGAAGGCTGGAACACTATTCTTACACCAAAAATAAACCACATGTACCCAAACTACCATGATATTTCATCTGAACTGATGTAAATCGCCCCTTCTAAAATTCAAACACAAGGATCAGTATGCAATTCTATACAAAATGTGAACTGTGTGCTAACAACCTTCTAATGACATTCTGCTGGCCTGGTGCAAACTGCATCATTCTTGCTGAGTTAAGGAACTGTGCCTAGTCCAACCCTGCTTGACTTCATCCCTCCCTCCCCCATACAGATGCATCTGCTGGCCTCTCTGCTTTAAACTCAACCAATCCAAATGTGCCACTGTATCTAAATCTTTGCCATTGCTGTGCCCATCTTCTTGTCACATAGATACTGACTTAAATGTCATTGTTCAAGTAAAGCCTTCCCTTGTTCTAATCAAACACAGTTCCATGTCACTCACATTATTTCACAAGGTTCAGTGCTCCACATAGAATTTATGTAATATTTGATATTTTATTGACAGGTTATTTTTATGGACTCCTTAGAATGCAAAATCCACAAGGGCAGGAAGTTTCCTGATTTTCCCTACAACAGTCCCTTACAACTGAAAAAAAATCTACATTGAACAAATGTTTTTCTGAACAGTTCTTGTATGCTTTCAGTAGCATCCATGCTTTCAAACCTCATTTGAATTTGAAGTTCAATCTACATTGAACAAATGAAGGAATTAAGGCTATAGCAAGTGAAATTATGCCTTATGTTCATTCCTAAAAATAAATGGTTATTGGCTTGCTGTGTGGCACACCTGTCATCCAATCTACTCAAAAGGCTGAGGCAGGAGGATCACAATTTCAAGACCTGCCTGAACTACAGAGTAAGTTCAAAAGTTTATCCTTGGCAACTTAGTGAGATTCTGCCTCAGTACAAGAAGTAAAGAGAAATCTCGGAATGCCACCCAGGGGTAGACTACTTGCTTGACACACACGAGGCTCTGGGTTCTATTCTCCAATACCACAAAAGTCAATTAGTCAAAAAACTTTAAACGATAAATTTAAGAAGTGGTTGTTCCAAACCTTTATTAACACAAAAAGAGATGTTTCTTGCTGCTACTTTCTTTGTCCTCTTTGAAAAGCAATTTTTCTTCTGTCCTGCGTACTCTTTGTACAGACCATTAGCAATTATGACTGGTCTCTAGAAGAGATAGAAATGAGGTTTTCCTCTAAATTCCAGAGGTGTTATGTTCTTATATTCTCATGATGTTTACCACAAATCAAATCATGCTCTGAGTTAACAGTAATCATTACCATTGGTACCAATATAAGACACATTAATTAACTTACAGTGTCTCTGGCTTCCAAACACACTAGGGAAGTACCTGAACACCATGGAAGACAACTCACCATTTTGGCAGAAGGGAATTGACTGCATTGGAGAATATAGCACCTGCCTAGGATTCATGAAGCATGGTTGACTCTCCTGGTCTCTATTAAGCATTTTACCCCAAGTATTACATTCTTCAACTTATAAGGTCTTGTTTTGTTCTAAAATTATAATTCTAGTTGGGTTTCTCTCTATAGACCAGGCTGGCTTTGAACTCACAGAGCTCCTCCTGCCTCTGCCTCCCAAGTTCTGGGATTAAAGGCATGCACCACCACTGCCCAGCAAAATCAATGTGTTTTAATTTCATTTAGTTTCCAGAACCTTCTAGGGTAACTGCATATTTAGGGATGTAGCAAACATCACACTTTCAAAGTTAAAATCAACATATCAAGCTTTTTTCTGAACAGTTCTTGTATGCTTTCAGTAGCATCCAGGCTTTCAAACCTCATTTGAATTTGAAGTACTCAAGGCAGCCGATGATGTCCTTATTCTTTCTGCTTGAACATCTTCATCTTCATCTTCACCTATCCATTCCTCTGGATTTAGTTGAACATTTAGACTTCGTGGAGATATCCTGTGGAAAACAGTTGAGTTGCACATTGTTTTCTAGTTGCTAAAACTTAGTTTCCTGGTGATTTTACCAGTCACTTTTACTGCCAATGGTCACTACAGCCCCACCCTAGTCACATCAGATATTTGTTTCAGCATCTTTTGCTGCTCACGCTTTCCACAGCCCACATGTAAAACTCCATCAATTCAGTTGTAAATTATTATCTCTTCTTTCCACCTCTTCTATGTGAGGCTGAATATCACCTTTTATGGGAGAATGATAGCATACTTAGAAAATCTTTACATATTTGAGAAATTGAAGTATCTTTCTACTGGTTAGTGGCAGGTTTTATTTCTTGACAGTAAGCCAGAAATCCATGGGCTATAATGCCAATCATTATATTGCTTGCATTGCAAATAGCAATCCCTATCAACAAATTGGAAGTGCAGCCACCACAATAGGAATATTAAACTATGATCTTATATACAAAATTAAATATTATCCTAACCTGAAAATGGGATCTTTCTGTATTACATTCTTCCCACATTTAAGTTCCAGGCATCTCAGAACAAAAATGAACAGCAAAGCATGAAAATACGGCTAGGAGCAAACAAAAAGTTTTGTTGAGACATAAGTTAACCAAGTTACTTAATTGTTACTTCTCATAATGCAACTAGTTCTCTCTGCTGTGTTATGCCCATCCAGACCCATGTCATTGCTCTTTCTCAGCTTGCAATGCATTTCCACATGGTTTCCATGTACTCCTCTTGTCCTACACATATACTTTCATTACAGAAATTGTAGTTAATGCTTCCACAGCTATGTTTGATCATTGTGCTTTGATTCAAACCATCCAATGATTCCTTAACCACTGAAATTTGCATCAAAATCCTTGGAGTTATCTAGAACCCCATGTGGACCCTATTCTGCTTATCTCACACTTTACCACATTACTTGTATGCTCTTCTTTCTGATTAAGCTCCCTCTTTCTCCTAGAGGATCCTGACAAAAGACAGGGTCACTCTTGCTAGTGCCGATTAGAATGTCATTTGAATCCTTCCTGACTATCTGTGGGTTGGTTGGAATGAGAATGGCTGTCTAGGCTCATATTTTTAAATGCCTGGTCCCCAGTTAGTGGAACTGTTTGGGAAGGATTAGGAGGTTTGGCCATATTGGTGGAGGCATGTCACTGAGGGTGGACTTGAGATTTCAAGAGCCCACAAGCCCACATCATTCCCAGTTAGCTTTTTTTCTCTTCCTTGTGCTTGTGGATCTGATGTCGCTCTCAGCTACTGCTCCAGTGCAATGCCTGCCCACATGCTGCCATGCTCCCTGGCATGATGGTCATAGACTCACCCTCTGAAACTGTAAGCCTCTACTAAATGCATTCTTCTATAATTTGCGTTGGTCATGGTATCTCTTTACAGCAGTAGAAAGTAACTTAGACACTTTTCCAACTAACAGTATTTACTATTTACTTAGCTTATCTGTATACTTCTTCTAGAATATAAGCCCCATTGAGGGCAGGGACTTGGTGTCTACTGTTTTGCCAAGAGCATCAAGGGAAGATAGTTTGGAAAGGCAGTAGCTTTCATCATCCTTAAGTCTAAAATAATAATTTTCCCATTCACTCATATTCAATTTTTGGCTTATATTCATAATTAAGAAAATTTACATTGCATCTGACTTTTTACACTTTTACATTTAGAGGTAGGATGGTGAAGAGACTAAACAAACCAAAATGGATACTATACTGAATTTTTAACTTATCATATATATGCACACAAAACTTACTCTAAGAGTAAATCTGTCTGAAAGTCATTGCTTTATTTAAAACAATGTTTACAACACTTTCAGAGATAGCACACTTCAGACAAGACCATAGAGTTATAGTAAAGAACTTCTGTTCTAAGGGAGATATAGTGAGGAAAAATTCTTACTGTTAGGCATAACAGATAATCAGCCCCAGATAAACCATATTTGATTTCTCCAAATTCTTCATAGTGCTGGTGGACTCTCTGAAAAGAAAAAAAAAGGCTAAATACATTTTCTTCACAATTTACATTTAAATAATATGCACTTTGCATATTGACTATTTTCTTAATTAAACTCAGTCATATTTATCAAATATTTTCTATTTATCCAATTATACAGCTTAAGAAGAAATCATCTTTCTGACCATTCACAGATATATGTACCCGAAAAGTAGAAAACACATCACCAATGGGCTGTGGAAAGAACCCCACAGCTGTTCTTTTTAGGGACGAAATGTAGTGGCACATGAGAAAAATTTCAGACAGAAGCAACCAGTTTGCAGAGTCTGTGGTCCCGTAAGCCTTGCTTGAACAGGGTTCCTCCTTCAGAGAATTATCCATCTGGTGAGTTGACACCTGAACTATCAATTGTCATCTGCTGTTTATTCTTGTTGCCTCTGGTAAAGCCATTGCTACCAGCAGCTCTCAGTATCAGGTGTCTCTAATTACTAGCATAGTGACTACCACAGAATGACATATGCTTTTGAATAGTTGAAGAGTATTGTGTATGAACTTATCCTTGGCAATTAATAAACACCCATTGAAGTAGGAAGTTCTTTTACATTCTGGATTTAGCTTCTAAGAGCATTCAACCATGCCTACATTTTGCAGAGTGCCTAAGGCACAACTTTTTAATGATGTTATGGAAGTTTATTTTCATGTTATAAATTGTACCTACTCTAAGTCTGCAGACTCAGGACTTTTTTAATAGCATGTGTAAACATCACCACAATGCAACTTCAGAGCACTCCAGTCATTGCAAAGTAATCCCTCATGCCTGTTTGCTTTCACTCCCCAAACCCACTAACCCACTTTCTATCTCTGTAGATCTTCACAGAGCAAAGAGCCTACATATTCAATTTCTATGGGACAGCTAATGACATTTCTTACCATTTCCAAAACAATCAGGAATGCAGTCAATGAGAATGAAGGCACTAATGTCATGACGGTAATTAACAGTGTTTCGCTGAAGTCAAAATTCAAAAGGATGTCAAGTATGATGATAAAGACCTATAGGGCAAGTCCAAGAATACTACATCAAATGACAAATTCCACAATTTCCCATATAATGATACAAATACGTAACAATTCCCTTTTTGAGACAAAAAGGGAAATGGTTTTGTTAATAAGAATATACAGAAATGTTATCTCCCCAATACAAAATTAATTTTTATAACACATGTTAATTATATGTATTATATGTTCAGTATGACCTTCTTTCTTTTGATAGGGTCACTGAGCAATGAACACAGAGCCTCCTGCATGCTAAACATGTACTATACCACTAAGCAGCACTTCTGGCCAGTGTGATATTTGAATACATGCACCAATCAAATCAGGGTAATTAGCACTTCCCTCACCTTATCATTTATATTTACAACCTCTGAGTTAATCTTTTCTAGATACCCAGTGTGTGTGTGTGTGTGTGTGTGTGTGTGTGTGTTTGATACCATGTGCACATGCTCATGCTGATTCCATTGTGCCATTGACTTTTCAAAATTATTTTTTTATATCTAACTGTGTTTGGGAATTTAACACCCAATCTTGGTTTATCAGCTCTCCATCTCCCACTGTCCCCAATGCCTAATGACCACTATTCCACAACTGTAATCACTTTTCTTTGCTTTCACATTGGAGGAAGAACATGTGCTGTTTGTGTTTTGTATCTGGTTTCACCCAATATAACATCTTCAATACTACCCATTTTTCTGAAAAGGACAGGACTTCAATCTATGGCTACATACTATTTCCTTGCATTTTTGTGTGACATTTTCTCTACATGGTCACCTGTCAATTGGCACTTAAAGGTGAAGCCATGTGTTTGCTGTTGTGGATAGTGACACATTAAGCACAGAAAGCAGCTATCTCTTTGGTATTCTGATTTAAATTCCTTAATACTCACACCCAAAAGTGAGGAGCCTCTATGCTATACTCTGTTCTGAATGTATTGATTTATACCTCCTCAACAGAGCACACATGAGCTTTCCTTTACTTGGAATGTTTGCCAACATGTTACTTCTTGGGTTTTTTTTTTAATAATATAAACGGTATAATACTTGCCTTTTCCTAGTGGGTAATGATACTAAATATTTCAAAATATACTTGCTATCCATTTCCATTTCTTTTTGATTATTTATTCAGATAAGTTGCTCATTTTAAATTGGATATTATGTTCTTGTCACTGAATTATGTTAGTTCCTTATATAGTTTGGCTATTAACCATTTGTCTTTTAGGATGTGACTCCAAAAATACAGGAAACAAAAGCAAAAAAAAAATAGACAAATGGAATTCTGTAACCTCAAAGCAAAGGGGACTATCAACAGAGTAAAGAGATGACAAGATGGATACAATGTCTGGTGTTTTTAGGTAACTACTCAGTGCTAGTGAAATCATGGTTGTTAGAAGAGAATCTACAACCACTACTTTACTAAACCTGCATACTTCCTAAGAACTATCTCTCCTTATACCCACATATAAGTAGAGTCTTTACTTATTTAGGAAATTTCTCTTTTCAACAGATGGAAATTACTACAGAAAAGAACACAACTAATCAAAATGCAGAGTTGTGGAGACCCATCCCAACAAAAGACATCTACATAACGTTCCTGCATCTATGGGTCCAGGAACACTGTGGAAGAGGGGAGTGGGAAGATTCTAAGAGCCAAAGGGTCAGAGACTTCGCTGTGAGATTGTTTCACCTAGGAACATCAGAAGCTATGCCCATAAAGTTTCACCAACATGAGCACCTAAATGTGAGCTGAACAAGCACGGCACCATCTAATATGCCAAACATGATAAAACCCACGAGTCCTCAACCCTACACAAAAACTACAGGCAACTGAGTGAAGCTAGGCGCATGAGAGGTGGTCTTCCCCAGAGAAGAGCACATTGACCAGCATTCCAGTGACAGCCCTAAAAAGATATGTACAAGTAACAGTATATGGACTAAACAAGTTATATTTAGAAATACATGTGTAAATACAAATACACATATGCATTCAATAGCAGTTAATAAAGAAAAACAGGCCATGAATTTGAAGAAGACTGGGGAGCTGGGGAGGGACATGTAGGCGAGTTTGGAAGGAGGAAAGGGAAGAGAGAAATGTTGTAATTAAATTATAATCTCAAAAAAAGTAAAATATTGACATAGAATTGGGTAAATATTAATCCCCAGCTATTAATCAGACTAAGAAAATTTTTCATAGATGAAAAGGCCAGAGATTAAGAGCAGAGCTAAGCCGGGCGGTGGTGGCGCACGCCTTTAATCCCAGCACTCGGGAGGCAGAGCCAGGCGGATCTCTGTGAGTTCGAGGCCAGCCTGGGCTACCAAGTGAGTTCCAGGAGAGGCGCAAAGCTACACAGAGAAACCCTGTCTCGAAAAACCAAAAAAAAAAAAAAAAAAAGAACAGCGCTAAAATGACTAAATACAGTCTCCTCACTCAATCCAAGACAATAATATGCACACACCTGTATAGGTTGTGTACATTGTCCTTTAAATCTTTATGTCTTCCCAGGATGATTGATCATATGCTAAATACAATTTAGAATAGAACCAAATACATAATAACTAAATATTAAGTTAGAGCACAATAATTATTTAGATAGTCTGAAGGACTGCTCTCATTTTGCAACAACCTCTACAATTTCTCTGCCAAGGCATTATACATTTGTCCATGTTTATTTTTCTCTTCTCTCAAATTCCAGGGCATTTTTATTTTCTTTTTAAGAAATATTTCCTACTTCTGATCATCTGAACACCTTTAGTATAGTTCAAAACATAACAATAGAACCTACATCCATGGAGAAATTGGTCCTGCTAAGTAAGCTTTTCCCCTGAATGTTGAGTCACAAAATGTTGAGGCATGCTTCTACTGTTTCTAATGATGCTTGCCTCTTCATCTGAGAGCTTGCTCTCTGAAAATGACCATAATCTATGTGCATAAGGCCATAGGTTGACTTTTGACTTGACATGCAGCAAAACTGCTAAGCCAGGTAAGTGCTTATCCTAATCTTAAGTGATTCCTTTGTGAATAGAGACAACACAAAGAGAGGAAAATGCTACAGAAGAAATCCTTATTCCAGGTTGCCAGTTACTTGGAACTGAAGATAAAGTAGCTGAAAGATCACCTCTGCCATCTTCGAGGCTGGTAGTAACACACTTGCCAGCAGCCATATTGACCTTAACCCTGAAATACTTAACCATCAATTCCAAGAAATAATTCATTCACAGTTGAGATTACTGGCAAACCTAAGGAATCAGCATGGCATGATTGCTTTATTCACCTTTGCTAGATGTATAAAAGAGTATTGGTTGAAAAATCAGGTGAGTTACAATAAGATTATCTTCTAATCATTTCTGTTCAGCATAGTCATTATTGGGGATACCATTGGATAATGTCAGCAAACCTGCTGGGTAATCAAAAATGTTCTCTAGTGACTTTGGTATACAGATTCTCATGGCTAACCTCAAAGGTAGTCTTTCAAGTGAAGCAGCACTCTGTAATACTTCATGCAGCTTCTCTACTTAGGATGGATTGTGAAGATAAAGGTAAGAGTAATAAATGCCACTGATGAATACAGCTAAACTCAATCCACAGACATAAAATACAAGTGCTGTATATTAATATGGAACAACAGCCAGTTGTGTCCACCCATTTCCTGTAGAGTCACCGGGTGGTATCAGACATGTATATTTTCTCACAGCTGGTCTTGGGTTGAGGTCTTTCATAATTTTAGAGCTCCCATTCTAAAAATTTAGAGCTATGATACTGACAGACATTCAATCATGTTTTAGGAATAGCAGCTTAAAGTCAGCTTGAAAAACAGTCTGGGTCTTTATTGCTTGGGTAAATATTCACAGCAAAGTTTCTCATAATACCAGACAAGCTCTCTATTTTCATAGAGAGAGAGATGAAATAGATATGGATATTAATAAATTATTTGACATGGGAATTAAAATATGGTGTCTTGCCGGGCGGTGGTGGCGCACGCCTTTAATCCCAGCACTCGGGAGGCAGAGCCAGGCGGATCTCTGTGAGTTCGAGGCCAGCCTGGTCTCCAAAGCGAGTTCCAGGAAAGGCGCAAAGCTACACAGAGAAACCCTGTCTCGAAAAAAACCAAAAAAAAAAAAAAAAAAAAAAAATATGGTGTCTAAAACTCTCACAGCTGTAGTTAAGACAAACTTTCTGGATCAGGCATACCCAAAGTGTGGCATGCAGACAACAGGGGTCCCAGGATACCTATGAATGCAGCCCAACACATTTGCAGATGACAAGAGCATATCACAATGCCTAAAGTCAGCACCCATGCACTACAGAACTGCTCAGGAAGCCAGTTTGGATACATTTTAAACTTTGGGTCTTTTATGAAGTTCTCATTAAATTCTATTCAAAGATCTGTACTGGAATTCTTCATAAACACAAGCTACATTTCTAGGTATTTCTACTGGGTAATTTTAATCTGAAATGTTTGAGAACAATAATTTAGATTTTGGTGGACTTTGGGATCGAATTCAACCTTAATACAAAACTAAATGATGTTTCATGTGTACTTTATATACATAACTTTAAATGGTCCATTGGTAATGCTGAGTAAATTTCGTTGTACTCTTGCATTTTGACAGGGAGCCATGACATGAAGTCAGGTATTGTGGTATCGTATCAGCTCTCAAAAATTTTGGGCACAGAAGCTGGGCGGTGGTGGCGCACGCCTTTAATCCCAGCACTCGGGAGGCAGAGCCAGGCGGATCTCTGTGAGTTCGAGGCCAGCCTGGGCTACCAAGTGAGTTCCAGGAAAGGCGCAAAGCTACACAGAGAGACCCTGTCTCGAAAAACTAAAAAAAAAAAAAAAAAAAAAAAAAATTTGGGCACAGGATTTGAATCTTTAAATTTAATATACATTTTTAATTTTACCACTGCTCAAGACAAAAAGTGACTGTATTTGATACTGGTCATACTTACAACAAAGAAGCCAACTGACCAAAGGCCACTGTTTTTTCTCCTTTTGCCAAAAACAAATGATATCACATATGTCAAGAAGACAAGAGAAGCAGCACAACCGAATGAAAGAACAACCTGAAGATAACAGAGGTAATATCCATTAAAAATGAAACATCTGAGGAAAAATTGAAATTACATACATTTAAAATATTTTAACTGGTAACATGCATGCAGTTAGGTTTATCAAATATTTAAATAACTAACATTGCTTGTTATTTTTAATTACTATATAGAATTTGGTCAATGTCATATTACTTACTATACATAGCACAACTTCACTTGTCAAGTAAATGTGCATCATATGTATCATGTAAAATGTGAAGTAGACTGAGAGAAGAATTACGCCAAAGATGTTAACATCCACCACTGCCTGCCCACACCAGTAGGCAGAAGGGTAGAGGCCAGAAATCCACAGCTGAGAATCGGCTTTCCTCTGATGAGAAAACACAGGAGGTACATGAGTTCTGTTAAAATACAAGACATTTGTTTTCTAGGCTTTTATGTAGTCAAGGCTAGCCTGGCACTATGCATTAAGGATGACCTTGAATTCTGACCTGCTTGTTTCCATCTCCCAAGTACTAGGATTACAGGCATGTGCCACTCTGCCTCGTATATCAGTGATGGGGATAAAACCCAGGGCTCCACACAAGCTTGGTTATAGCCAGCTCCTCTGACATGGTTCTTTCTGCTGAGGGTTGCTTTGGCTACTCAAGAGTCTTTTGCTTCTATATAGACTTTAGAATTGCTTTTCTAGTTCTATGAAGAATACACCAACAGCGTTCTCATGATCTAACTTGACAGAGCAGATGATAACCTTCAGAGAACTGGGTTTTTTCAAACTTCATCCCTACTTGGACAGTTATGCTTTACATTTTTAAGTATATTATATAATTTGGTACTCATATCACGCCTGTGAGATTGGTTTTATTGTTAGCTCCACTCACAAGCTTTGTCTTAGGAAGTACTGAATTTTGAATCTTGGAAAATCAAATCAAATTCCATGTTGTGTCAAATATCTATATACTAGACATGTGTCTCTAGTATCTATTTGCTATCTTTAAGGTAAGATGATATCCCCAAATTCTTTTTAAGAAACTACTCACTCCCATTCTGAGAGCTAGTGGGTCTTAAACAGTTCTTCCAGTTAATTATCTTAGACAATAACCAACAAGTTTCCCATGCCTTTTTATCTTTGTTCTTTCTTCAGTGTGCTGTCAAACTGTGGTGTGGTTGTTGGAATTCTGTCATCTTACACCATGAAGTGAAGGTTCATCTTCAGAAATGTCAGAGTTATTGTTACTGGACATTTTAGGGTCAGAGGCTGGCCTCTGGCAGCCCCAATGAACTAGGGCTGGCCACGCACCCCAATGTGCCAATCAGAGAGACAAAGAATACTGAAAAGCAGAGAAGAGTGCATGTTCAATGCAGTCACACTGGAAAGACAGGAAACAGGTAAGAGGGGTTTAGTTAGGGAAACTGACATGAGGCTTAGGTTTCCATAGTGGGCAAGTGGTATGCATAACTAAGCAGGCATGGTCAAGGAGTGGGCCATTATTGACCCATAACTATCTCAGCTCCATCTCTCCTGCAAGGTGGTCTGGCAAAGTTGTAAGAACTGTGTGAAATCTCTCCTGGGGGACAAGATCCTTTTCTGTATGACATCAAGCTTTAGCCTTTCTCTTTTCACAACATGAGGTTTCTGGGGAAAGTTTAATTCTTTGGAGATTATTATTTTAAGTCTGATCATCTAAGGAAGGGGCATAAATGGTTCTAGAATATCTCTTTTCCTGCCAGTCCTGTGTTCCTAGTCCTTTAGAGAGCAAGCTATTTCACAGTTCTGGTTTGATACATCTGGTCCACATGCACCTGCATTCTTGCTTTAGGAACAGACCTCTCCCTTGTTGGAATCATTACTGTGTGTTTGTTAGCAGTGAACCTAATCCTCCCCAAAATTCCTGATCTCTAGGAATGTTTTTATGAGATATTTGATTATTTCCTCAAGCAGTTGCTATTGTGAAACAGAAAGTGAGGATAGTCCATGTATGCAAAGCCCATAAAATGTTAATCTACTCTTTGATATATAGGACATAAAATATGGTATCAACGTTCAATCTAAATTCAATACAAGGAGAAATGACTGACTTTTTCATGTGCACCAAGTGCTGGGCCAGTGAGTCTTATCATAATGAAGGTATAGATTTACTTTATTTGCTCATCTTAAAAAATGTACTACTGCCGGGCGGTGGTGGCGCACGCCTTTAATCCCAGCACTTGGGAGGCAGAGCCAGGCGGATCTCTGTGAGTTCGAGGTCAGCCTGGACTACCAAGTGAGTTCCAGGAAAGGCGCAAAGCTACACAGAGAAACCCTGTCTCGAAAAACCAAAAAAATAAAAAAAATAAAAAAAAAATGTACTACTAATGTTGACTGGCTTATGTATTGCATAAATGTACATGTGTGGAGTTGGGTGAAAATGCAAGGATTTTTAAGGTAAATTCGTATTATTGTATTATTGAAAATAACTATACACAAAGTGTTTAAGAACATGAAACCTACAGATTCAGTTCCCTAACGGTGATTTATTTGGTACACTGATGAGCAATACCACTTTAACCCATGAATAATTAAAAGAAGTCTAAATACTTTCTAGTTCTCATTGCAGGAAGTCAGGTATGGGATTTTCCAATAATGGTATTGTGTCAGCTTTTGAAAATTTTGGATTCTACATTTTGGATCTTTAGATTTAATCGACATTTTTAATTTTTGTAAAAAAATAAAATTGTAAAAAGAAACCGTGATAGAAAGTACGCTGTAGAGAGGCAAATAGTAGGTCTAAAAGAATAGGCCAGGCGATGGTGGCGCACGCCTTTAATCCCAGCACTTGGGAGGCAGAGGCAGGCGGATCTCTGTGAGTTCAAGGCCAGCCTGGTCTACAGAGCAAGATCCAGGAAAGGCGCAAAGCTACACAAAGAAACCCTGTCTCGAAAATACAAAAAAAAAAAGAAAGAAAGAAAGAAAAAGAATGAATAGAAGTCCATTGAGGGATTTTTAGTCAGAGGACCAAAGAAGACTGATGCAAGACTGTGCCTTCTAGATCTGACAGGAAAGCTGCACTCATGAAAAGGGTAGCTGCTTAATCAAGACCTGAACAATGGCAGTACGAGTTAACATAGCAACAGAATGGGGGAAATCTCACAAGGCTGCACCCTTAGATAAGAGCTAGAGGCAATCATGGTTACTGAGAGAGGGAGAATCAGTCTTCACCAGGGATTAGCCCTCACTAGGCTCTCCAGTCCCAAGTAGTCAGCCCTAAACACATACTCATATGGGCAGCACTAAGTGGACTCAGCAGGTTGTATCTATAGATACATGCATTCATATATATGCCTCTGCATCTGAAAAGGGGAGATTATGACATTTTGGATGAATTATTTTCTTGCAGCTAGGAAATAATTCATCCAAAAGATATATAATGTTGTTCAACTTTGGAGATTTAATGTGACACTCTGAAAATCATTGCACTTTCAACGTAACTTTGAAGTAAAAGCATTTTGCATTTTAAAAATAGGCGTTTGAGTTGCTGGAAATAATTGTAAACTACGTTGTATAGTGTAATGGCATGTTTCAGTGCTTGTCCATACCCCAGAGGAAAAACACTTTGCACTCACAGCATTAAAAATACAATTACTGGCATTCTTAAAATCCCCTCCCCGCACTTCCTTACTTTGTAATCACTGGCACTACTCATGGCAATATGTGGCGAAATGCTGCATGCAACAAACAGCAAGAACAGGAAACCATCCATTTCCCCAAACCAGAATATCACCAGGTCCTGCAAATACAAACGGAACTTTAGTGGAAAATCAAAGTAGCATTTATCATGAGACCTCAACTCAAAATAACAAAAGAAGCTAGAAATATTTCAGGACCTACTTGGGAGTATATATCAAAAAAAAAAAAAAAAAAGCAGAGAGGTTTTGAAGAGATACCTTCATACTCATGTTAAAAACACCATTAAAATAACCAAGAGGTGGAAATAACTCAAATGCTATTAGTAGATGCATGAAGAAACAAAACTAAATAAGCACATAGGTGTATAATGAATATTGTTCAACTTTAAAAGGAAGAAAATTTTGTCAAATGTTTCAAGATAGATCCACTTGGAATATATACTACTAAGTGAAATAAACCAAGCAAAAAAAAGTTCAAATATTGTATATTTCTATTACATGATATACTTAAAATAGTCACATTCCTAGAAACAGAAAGCAAGATGGTGGAAGGAACAGAGAAGAATTAAGAGATTATAGAATGAAATTGCTATTTAGATACAGAACATCTCTTGGATGAAGAAAATCTGGATGTTAAGTTCACAATAGTATGGATATACTTAAAACTAATGAATTTAAGATGCTCAGTTTAATGTTATGTGTTTCAAATGATGCAAACACAGCAATAACAACTCAGGAATTGTGACCTGTGGTTAACAGATATGTTAGGTCTGTCTTTCAGCAAACTAGAGGTTGACAGGAAGAGAGACCTCAGCAACTGGGTGGACATGTTCTGTAACTCAGAACTGTAAAGGAAACTGTCACTGAACCTACCTTGGAGTTAAAATATAAACCACTACTCCTAAATATGCCCAAGCAGAATATAGAACTATCCCATGGAAATAATGGCAGAAAACAACACCGGCCTGTCTTTCAAGAGTTCTACAGTTCTCAAACTTTATGGTTTTGGAGTCTATGTGTACAAATCCCAGGGTTTTCTCTAGGTAAGGAAGTGTGTTTCCCAGTGTCATTATAGGAGTGAAGATGAGTGCCATTGGAGATGGCACAAAGTGCACCTGTCCATTTAGATTCTGAGAAACCTTGAAATAAAATGGAAAAAAACAAAGGGTGGGGGTGACCAGAGAGATGGCTCAACAGTTAAAGAGTGCATGTTGCTCTTGCAGAGAACCCATGTTCAATTCCCAGCATCCACATGAGCCTTATAACTGTCTGTAACTACAGTCATGGGATCTGATGCCCTCTTCTGGCCTCTTTGGGCACTGCATGCACATAGTACACAGACATACGTGTAGGCAAAATAAACATACATGTAAAATAAAAACAAATAAATCTTTTTTTTAATGAAAAAGAAAATTAAGAAGGTGTTAAGAACTATTTCTTCTGTCCAGGTTTTCTTTTTCTCTTTGGGATCCTGGTGATCAACCCCAGCAGGGCCTTAAACATGCTAAGTATAACTCCAAGCTACATTCCCCAGCCCCTGGTTTAAATTTTCAAAGACTTCCCTTAAATCCCCACTTGCTGAGTCATTCCATGTCCTCCCTGATCACAGGGCCAGTAATATAAGACCTTAGTTCACAGGTATGGACACACACATATATTCATTATTAACCCATCAAGTATATTCTGCCTTACTTTTCCCATTATCAGCAGAAAATCCACACTGGCATAGACTCCCAGCACTGCTGATTCAGTGGAAGCCAATCTGACACATTTTTCAAAGCAAGATTACCCGTGGCCGGTCCACTTCTGGTAGTTTTTTTGTTTGTTTGGTTTTGGTTTTTGTTGTTGTTGTTGTTTTGAGACAGGGTTTCTCTGTGTAACAGTCCTGGCTGTCCTGGAACTCACTTTGTAGATCAGGCTGGCCTTGAACTCACTGAGATCCACCTGCCTCTGCCTCCCAAGTGCTGGGATGAAAGGCATACACCAACATTGCCCAGCTTTGTGCCAACACTGCCTAGCTTGGCTGGTCCATTTCTAATCTTGCTTCTGATATGAAATATCTAGAGACAGTTTTAAATATGTCTCTTGTTGTCAAACAGAAAATGATAATCACCATAAATACTTAAAATAGGAAGGAAGCTGTCATTAAGTGGCTACATAGACGATGACTGTCCAACAAAAATGATGAAATGGGAAACACTGGGAACGGATGCTTTTACATTTTATGGGGTGCCATTTGTCATTTGTTAGCCTTATGTCCAGTACAATCAAGTCCAACATAGAAAGTCCCTGCCTAGGTTAGTATCTTGTAGTGCACTCCCAACCTTTTCCTCTAGAAGTTTCAGGGTTTGGGTCTTACATTGAGATCATTCATCTGTTTGGCATTGATTGTAGTGCAGAGTGAGCAATTAGTTTCATTCTTCTATGTGCAGATATGCTGTTTTTTCAATATTTGTTGAAAATGCTATCTTTTCTGCAGTGTGAATTCTTGGTATATTTGTCAAAATCAGATGGCTGAAATTGTAGCAATTTATATCTAGGTCTTCTATCCACTGATCTAAATGTTGTTTTTGTGCTAATACCATGCTGTTTTATTGCTATGGCTCTGTAGTATAACTTGAAATCATATACAGTGGAATCCCTGGCAATATTAATTTTACTCATAATGGTTTTGACTACATTGGGGTCTTTTGTGTTTCTATATGAATTTTAAGATTATTTTACTGGTTTTGCTAAGAGGGGCAATGGAATTTACCCGAGATTGTGCTGAATCTCAAGATTACTTTTGGTAGGATGGCCATATTCATAACACTAATTCTTCAAGTACACCCATGTGCAGGAAATATCTTCCCATTTTCTACTGTCTTCCTTAGTTTATTTTAAATGAAATTGGGGGGGTAGAGAATTTCATGCATAAGTACTGTTTTTTTCCTCATTTCCACTCCTTCCTCTACATCCCCAATCCCTCCTATGTCCCTCTGATTCCATCTCAAATCCATTACCTCCTCTAATTATTATGGTTACACACACACACACACACACACACACACACACACACACACACACACACCACATCTATACTTATATATAACCTACTGAGTACATTAAGCATTTAGTGATGCTATGTGTTTAGGGCTGATCAATCAGGGAGTTTGCCACTGAATAAAACATAGTTTCTTCAATGTATAAAATTTTTATTATAGAGGTCTTTCACTTCCTTGATTAAGTTTATTCCATTTTACGTATTTTAAGAATTATTAGCTGGGCACTGTTGGCATATGCCTTTAATCCCAGCAATTGGGAGGCAGAGGCAGGCAGATATCTATGAGTTTGAGGCCAGCCTGGTCTATAGAGTGAGTTCTAGGACAGCCAGGGCTACATAGAGAAACCCTGTCTTAAAAAAATATTTTAGCCGGGCGGTGGTGGTGCACGCCTTTAATCCCAGCACTCGGGAGGCAGAGCCAGGCGGATCTCTGTGAGTTCGAGGCCAGCCTGGTCTACAGAGCAAGATCCAGGAAAAGGCGCAAAGCTACACAGAGAAACCCTGTCTCAAAAAAAAAAAAAAAAAAAAAACCAAAAAAAAAAATATTTTAAAAAGCATTATTCATTTATGTATTTTATGTATATGGGTCTTTTTCTGTATGTGAATTTACACAACAGACAAGAACATCTGATCCCATTATAGGAAGTTGTAAGATACCATGTGAGTGCTGGAATTGAACTCAAGAACTTTGCAAGAGCAGCCAGTGCCCTTAACCACTGAGCAATCTCTCCAGCCCTCATTTCATGCTTTTGAGGCTATTGTGAGTGGGATTATTTTCCTGCATTCCTTTTCAGTATTTCATTGGTATTTAGGTAGACTACTGATGATGCAGTATTTATTGGTTTTAGGAGTTCATAGCATAGTCTTCTTTAAATGTTTAATCATTACTACTATTACTACTACTACTACTACTACTACTACTACTACTATTATTATTATTATTATTATTATTATTATTATTATTATTATTATTATTTTGTGTAATGTGTCTGCATGAGTGAGTGTAAGCCACATCAGCAGAGGACAACTTCCTGGAGTCAGTTCTCTCCTTCCATCTTTATGTAAATTCTAGGGATTAAACTCATGTCATCCAGTTTTCATTGTAAAAGCTTTTGCCTTCCCAGTAAGCCATGTCACTGGCAAGGTGTTGCAGTCTTTAGGGTCTCTTATATACAAAATCAAATCATCTTGAAATAAGAAAACTGACTTCTTCCTTCCCTATTTGCATCATTTGTTCTGACTGCTTTAGTGCTCTAACTACAACATGAAGCATAACATTGAGTAAGAGCAGAGAAAGTGGGCACACCCTTGTCTTGTTCCTGAATTTAATGGAAAAACTTTGAATTCTTCTCCTTTTATATGATGTTGGCTTTGGGTTTGTCATAAATGGCCTTTATTGTATAGAGATATGTTGCCTATATTCCTATTCTCTCTAGCATTTTTCTAATTATTTCTTTTATTTTTTGAGATTATAACATAATTATGTTATTTACCCCTTCCCTTTCCTCCCTCCAAACCCTTATAGTATCCCTCCTTGCTCTCTTTTTCATAATTGGTGTTATGTACATGTGGGTATGCACATATGTATTCCTGCATACAAAAATAAAACCTGCTCAGTCTATATACTATTACTTGTATATATAGGTTTTCAGGGTTGGCCATTTGGTGTTGGATGATCAACTGGCGTGCTCTTCCCTGGGGAAGACTGATTCTCCTGCTCTCAGCACTCCTTAGTTGTTTGCATTTCTTTGTGTAGGGCTGAGGCCTCATGAGCTCCCCCACTAACCTCATCCATGTTAGCATGACTACTGGTATTGTCTTTGCTCAGCTCATAATGGAAGACATTGGAGTTGTCAAAGGCATTTCATTTTCTACAATTATTAAGATGATTGTGTAACATCTGTTCTTGAAGCCACTTATATGATTACTTAATTTTACTTATGTACATATCTTCATCCATCTCTGCATCTCTGAAATGAAGTCAGATTGATCATAATCCTTTTAATTTGTTCCTGAATTTTCTATATGAATAATTTGTTGAGAATTTCTACATTTATGCTCATCAAAGAGATTAGTCTGTAGTTTTCTCATTTTGTTGTCTCTGTCTCTATGTGGGTTTGGTACTGGAATAATGGTGCCTTCATAAAAAGAGACTCGAAGCATTCTCATCTCTTCTATTTTTGTATAATCTGCTAAGCATTGGTTTTAACTCTTCTTTAAGAATCTGGTAGAATTCTCCATCAAGACCTGGACTTTTTTTTTTAGTCATAAGGTTTTTATTACTCCTTCAGTTTTATTGTTTGTTACAGGTATGTTTAAATTATTTATCTCATTTTGGTATGGCATATGCATCTATAAATTCATCCATCCTTGGCAAAGAATGCAAATTAAAACTACTTTGAGACTGGATCTCACCACACTTAGAATAGCTACTTTCAAGAAAACAAAGAACAAGTGGTGGAGAGGAAGTGGGAGAGGGGAGCTTTATTCACTCTCAGTGGGAGTATAAATCGGTGAGGCTACTGGAGACATCAATGTGGAGGTTTCTCAAAAAGCTAAAAATAAAGCTACCATTTGACACAGGTATACCATTCCTGTAGAATTATCCAAAAGACTCTAGACCTAACAGCAGAAAAAGCTGCTAGGGAAGAAAAGTCATCAATGGACCCTGCTTGCTACAATACTTACCTGCCAGGCAAGATAGAACCACTAGTGCAATAGTAGCAAGACCATTAAGGGAGTAACTAATCGTTTTGCAACTAGATTTGAGATCTTCTCCATGGAAGGGAATTAAGTGACTGTTACTGTAAATCTGGTCAAACACCTATAACTGGGGAGGTCACAGTACCTATGGGAGAATGAATGTACTACTGACGTTTTAATGAACAGACAGGTAGTCATAATGCCTCCTAAATACATGTTTATACCCATAGACTCATGCTACTCTCAGCTAGGGTCAAATAAGTTTCTTCTTGCAGAAGGTGACAGCTGCTGCAGAGAACTGGTCAAAGTGCTGACTGAGAATAAGTGCTGACTTTTGAATACTCAGCCCTAAAGAACACATCAATATCATCCCATCCCAGACCAAGGGGACAATCATAGAAGAGGGGTAGAAAGACTAGCAGGAGGGAGGGAAGTGCCATGAAATTCTGTCTCCAAGCTAATCTTAAGGCCACTGCAACCACAAACATAAAGTAGCTGTAGCTTCCTGCAAAGCATCTACACGTGAGGGTGGGGTGAGGTGTTAAGACTACTAGGGAAGAAGGGAATCAACAGAGGTAGGAAAGGAGTAACAGGGAATTATTAAAATGAACATTATCACAATGCATTCTATACATAAATGAAATTGTCAAAAATAAACTGAAACTTTCTCAAAGAAATGGAAAGTCAGTGTCACTTCTGGGATGGAACCACAAAGAAAGGAAGTAGTGTGACTGTAAAGCATGATGGCATTTTCTCTGTTCTATTTCTCACCAATGCTTCCCTTCTATAAACTTCTAAAGCCAGGGTTGTAAAAATGCAGTCCGTACATATCATTCTTGCAATGCAAACAAACTGACTAGTTGAAGGCATGAGCTCGGTGGCATACAAACTATGAGAACACAATAACCATCCTTAGGATCAACAATTAAATATGAGCAATGTAGGTTCACTGTCAATTTCTTAATTGTTCGGGATAAATGAATGTAATACTTACAGATGTAAAAATAGCTTTCTCAATTCTAATATACTGTGAATGGTTGAACATATGAAGGAGCCCATTGCTGATGATATTCATTAGGATAGGAAAGCAGTGTAGCCTCTTGGTATTACACACAACTGAAAACCTGTAATCCTTGAAACAAACCAAAACAAACAAGTAAGATAAAATCCTTGAAAAATAAAGTTATTGCACACACATGTGCACACACACACAGTTCAAACAGTCACATTTTAGCTATTTGTTGATCTTCAAGTTAACTAGCTTTTCTATGCCTTCATTTCTCATCTATGAAAGAGGAGTCTAAATGGGATCATACATGGTTTGAGTTAGACTATATATATTAGATCCTTACACAGTGGGTATGACAGAAATAGAATCCACGTAATACTAAATTTTACTAATGTAACTAATTTTGTATCACTTCATCCCTGATTTGCTGATAAGGAAACTTCAGTAAGTAGGGTTTAAATCTGCCCTAACACGGAAATATTGTCAGTTTCTGGTGAGGGAGCAGATAGGAAGTAAATATGGAAAAAAAGAGATTTTCATGGTTACAGTGCTACTATCAATAGTTTGTGTAGTAAATCTACAAGATACACCAAGCATCTGTCAAGCAAGTAGTTTCCCAAAGTTGACATAAAATGATGCCATTTTTCACAATGTATTAAAACTGAACTCAATGAGAAATCTTTTAAGACTTCTAGTTTAGTCTCATATTACTTGTAGAAGGAAAGAAAGACATACTTTTGATTAGTTTTGTCTCTTAACTTTACTGAAATGCAAATGAGACTCAAGTTCTTCTTATAATTAGGATGTATTTGCAACAGATGTGCTCCTTGATGGACTCCCCAATGGCTTTCACTTAACTTGAAATATATGAAGATAGCACATGGAGAATACTTTCCTATTTTAGATTTCATTACAGAATTTAATGTGTTTTTTCAATATGTAAAATATCATCCACTTGACTGTTGAATAAGATTAAATTCATAATTACATTAATGATTCTGTTGTATAAAAAGTCATTTAGTTTAAGAAACACACTCATTCCCTTTTAATGCAAAATTACTTAATTTAAAACATTGTTTCACCAAAATATCATAGTTTATTCAATACGTACTCATATATTTTGCTGAGTCGAGTTACTATACACTAGTTTTCCAAAGTCTTAAAAATAAAATGTAGCCTTTTGATATTGTTTGAGTATGTGTGGAAAACATACCTTTTGTCTCCCAGAAACTATAATAGCTCCGTTGTATGAGAGGCTTTCAGTACCATTTCTGTTTTCAAAGTCATCTACTTCCAAAACTATGTTTTGATGCTTCAGTGACTGTATGAAATCCTCAATATTTGATTCTAGTATGATTGAAACAACAAAAGGCAATGTGAAAGCAAGTCAAATTGTTTATGAGCCCTACAAAGTTAACATTCCTAGTATACCATAAGAGGTGTACTTTATGTACAACATAATAATACTATTGGCCTAGAAAGATAAATCACTCACTCATCCATCTTCTATTTAGTAAATCTTACATTACGATGAATTAATATCATCATTAATATCAAGAATAATTCTATTTTTGTAATTTTTCCTTTAATATGTGTATAAATTTAAAATTTCTGGAAATTAATATGAGAAATACTACAGATTATTCAGCTTAATAACATTTTCCTCTTTTCCCTATTCTTACCAAAAAAATAAAAATAAAAATACATATACAATTCATGTTTTCCACATTTGCATACATATTTCATAATGTATCTTTCTTGGGAAATTAGAAGAGTACCACTATCAAATTAAAAATTTTTATGTATTCTAAAAGAAGAAAATGGGTGAAATTACTAGAGAGAGAAAAATAAAAATTGAGAAAAACCCACAGCCTGGTGCACAGAGGAGAAAAAGATGTAATAGGAAACCAGTTTCTACAACATCAAAATTCAAGGGGATAACTGAGTTATCAAAGCATGCTCTGAGCCACAGTCAGGGTCGTTACTGTCCAGGTAGAGCTGGAGCAAGAGGAGCAGTCAAGGGCCATCCATGCTCCACAGTGACAGCTGCTATAGTCGTCTCTGGGAACACTCCTCATATATAAGGGATGATGTCTAAGAAGAACAACAGGGCAAGACTTGGAGTAACCCCAAGCAACAATCAAAGAAAACCATAATGGACAAAAAAAAAAGAGCCCCTTTTTTCTGCACAGAGCCCTAGAATTGGACAAATAGGATTAAACTTCAAACAAATCTAAGTTCCCCAAAATGTGATGGGACACATATAGAAAAACCATGTTTCCATGTCCCCTGGGGCAGTCACACATCACAACTCCATTTCATATAGGGCACAATAATGGTAGCTCACATTCATACAAACCAAACAAGGTTTGTCAGTCTTCTCTCATATGAAAAGATGAACACATTGTTAACAATCCCATCAAACTTAGAGGAGAAAGAAATATGACAGAATAAATCCCCCAAATACTTGACAACTGAGTACAAGGGGGGCGGGAATGAGTGAATACAGTGTATTACCCTCAGGTTGAATGGAGAATAAGCTATGAGAGGTCAACAATCTGACGGGCAAAGGACAATTCTAAATGTTAGGAAATAACATATAATTCAAAACTTTCAGCTTTAAAGAAACAGTAAATTTTACTCCCCAAACATGAAATGAAAAAGAATGAAGAATAAAAGTGAAGACACTTTACAATCTTGAATCAAAAATACCTGTGAAAATGGGAATCAGCAAGAAATTTAAGAAAGGACGGCTACTGTGAATGTTTTAACATCTTCAGAAGAAACATAAAATCTTTCCTTTCTAGTTACTTAAGCAGTTATAAAATAATTACTACCAGGCATGCTAGTGCACACTTTACTGCTGGCACTTGGGAGGCAGACAAATTTCTGTGAGTTCAAGGCCAACTTGGTCTACAAAGCATATTCCAGAATGGCTAGGGCTGTTGCACAGAGAAACCTTGTCTCAAAAAACCAAACTAAACCAAACCAAACCAAACAACAATTATCCATTCTCTGATATAACAAAGTAACTATTCCTGAATCTTGAATTTCATTCAAGAGCATGAAGTGGAGACATGTCATCTTTGCAAGTCAATCAGTATGTATTGTATACATGATACAGGGTAAGTAACAAAGAGGTGGGAACAAAGAGATCTAAAGACAGTCTTCAGCTAAGATAAAGGCTTACTTCTCTCCCTCAGAACAGCTATGGCTGTAGGTGTAAAGGACGGAGGTTAGACTGGACAGTGACAAGTCCCTTGTTCCTTGTTCCCACCAGCCTTGTCCTCTCCAAAATCAAAGAAACTGCACTGCTCCTCACAAGTCATTTTCTATAAATGCACATTTTTCTTCTGCCAAGATTTTTTTGCCCCCCTCATGTACTCTTTAACAGTTAAAGATTTATTTCTGCATTAAAATGCTGATCTCTATTCACCTGTGTTGTTGATGACCAATAGGCTTGTTCGCAGACCCTGAGGGAGTTGTCCAGGGGACAGGAAATACAATTCTGGTTTAAATTCCCAGTTGGTTTTTTGCACTGTCACAGCATAAGCCACCTTTTCCATAATCAATGGGAACAGTGCAATTCCAAGAATCAATAGACTAAACAATAAAGAAAAGTTACCATAGGAAGCTATAGCAATTTGTCCTCAGCAATATAGTCTACAACTGTTTGTTAGATATTAATTCTACTTTATAGCAACTATAATTTTAAGTGTTAATGTTCTAAAAGTAGTATCTCAACATGTCACAGTACTAAAAGGCATCGTTAAATAAACATTATTTAATCTCACTACAAAAACTAAACAGCAGGCCAGGCATTGGTGGCACACGCTTTAATCCCAGCACTCGGGAGACAGAGGCAAGCAGATCTCTCTGAGTTCGAGGACAGCCTGGTCTACAGAGTGAGATCCAGGACAAGCACCAAAACTACACAGAGAAACCCTGTCTCAAAAAAACACCCAAAAACTAAACAGCATGTATTCATAAGCCCAATCAAGAATTAATATACAGGCAATCCCACTGTCAGTAAAATCAATACTGTATCAATTTCTTCTCTAGCAGGAATGCTAAGTACTGTGCTTTACTTTTAGATGTCCTTATAGTTTAAAACCTTAAAATTTTTTTGTCTTAAAAAACTGATGGTACTCTGATACTCACAAGGTCAAAAATGCTTTTCTCTCTCGTTTCAGTTTTAGGATGCGAAGCCGTGCTATTGCACAGACCTGCATTCTCCAGTGGCTCATGACACTCACAGTCTTCTGCACTTCAGAAAGAGAAGGACAAGCTGGCTCCATTTCATTTAAGCTTTCTGAGTCTCTTCTTGTTTCTCTTTTCCCAAAGTCTGTATGAACACACACACACACACACACACACACACACACACACACACACACACACACATATTACAAATATCATCCTAAGGCGTAATAGACTTTTCTAATTTTAAATATTTTGATATTTAATAAAATAATTTTATGTCTGATCTTATTTTACATTTTTATTCAAAGTAATTATTTTAATAACATTTGCACTCTCTCATGAAGCTTATACACCATCACTGGCTTCAGTGTTTTCTCTTTATAGTTATATTTTATAATTTCCAACACAATGAAAATTTAAAGATTAATAAAAATGTTTTGCATTACATTGCAAAACATGGTAAAAACATACAATAATATCAAAACTCTATATACTCCCTGAGAATATCTGCCAAATATATGCCAAAAGCAGAATTCAGAAAGGCAAACATTCAATTGTCGTACTATTCTGAAGGAGTTCAAGATAATCCTTTTCACAGGGATCAGCAGTTGTTAATGCTTAAACACTTACTACTAAGGCATCAATAATCTGGACTTGTTAGGAAAGGATCATTAGCTCTGAAAATACTTAACATATCTATGCTACCCAGATCTGTGGGCTATAAGCAGCATGGCTTGGCTTGGGAAGAATCATCTAACTGTTCTTCAATCAGAAATCCTCATCTGTAAAATTGTGTCAATCACAATTGTTGGAAGAATTATTATAGGAGGGAGCTATGGGTATATCCCAATATTTATCCACATTGATCAAAGTGCCTGTAAAAGGAAGATCTCCAAAATGGCAGCTATTATATCCCATTAAATTACCTGGAAGTTGGTAAAAACTCTCTCCATTTAGGTCTTTTTCTCTTAACAAGCAAGAACTAATTTTTATAAGAAGTGATACTCAGACCCCATACCTTTGATCAAGAACATTCACAATTTCAAAGTGACCAAGAAACAGTAAATATCAGGAGACAGAACTGCTGCAATACCAAGTAGTTAGAATCAACACCTAAGAATGGACCTGTGGCTAGCTGTACTGATGATGTCAGAAAACCTAACGGTCCATGTCAAATTTACAGTGGGTCACACTCCTTAAAAAGTCATAAAAGCTAATTTGACACATAGCCATTTATTAATTGATTCTGTGACTTATACAAATAGTTTTACTTTGTTTGGTAGTTGATTCTCCCTCCAGATTCATGAAGACTTCATTCAGAGTTGACATGGAAACTTCATAATTCATCAAGCCCTGGCCAGAATATTTATCAAGATCTCTGAAGAAGTCTAAGTCAACAGAAGGAACATATAAAGTTTTAGAACAATATAAATATACTAACCCTAATAAATTAACATTTATCTTAAATATGATATTTAATAATGTTCAGAAATTTCATATCTTTGGAATATAATCATAATTTAAAGGAAAAAAACACTCTCAGAAATTATTATGCCAAACTTCATTTTCAAGGTGTCTCACTTTATCACGTATTCATGGGTTTTTTGTTTTGTTTTGAGACAAGGTTTCTCTGTGTAGCTTTGGTGCCTGTCCTAGATCTCACTCTGTAGACCAGGCTGGCCTTGAACTCACAGAGATTCACCTGGCTCTGCCTCCCAAGTGCTGGAATTAAAGGCGTGCACCACCATCGCCGGGCTATCTTGAATTCTTAGATTATTACTTTCCTACAAACTTCTCTGAGGAAATATCAGCAGTCATAAAGACTATAGTGGTTTTTGTTTTTGTTTTTGTTTTTTTTTTTTTACCACCAGTCAAAAAACCCAGGTAAGCTTCTGCCCATATCTGGGGTTCCTTTTGGATGAGTGTAACTCTTGCAACTGCTCCCTCAAAGGCTACCCCTTTTACTTATGCTCTGAATTTTATCCCCCAAGGATCTCTCAAGGTGAACTCCTTTCCCTTCCATCATAATTTTCTTCTGTACCTGCTGGGTCAGGCAGAATGTTATGGTGTCCACCAAACAAAGACAAACAATAGCTTCCTCCCATCCCTCTCTGTATACAAGTTTGGCTCCAAAAATTTGTCCACATTTAATCTGTCACATCTTACAAACAGTTCAGGTCCATATATGTCATTCTCCTCCACAGAAGCTGCTCTCTTCTAGGTCACCAAGACTTTCATATTTTACATTTGATGAACAAGTCTTTATTTCTACTATTTTCAAATATAATATTTCAATTATTCTTTGAAAATTATTATATATGCATGCAACGTATTTCCATACTCAACCACACTCTTCCGTCCAACCTCTCCTGGTCCTCTCACCCACCCACCCCACCACATCCCCTTTCTAATTTAGTTTTAAATTCATCTTTTTTCCTTGTTACTCCCTCTCCCATTCTTCATCTTTCTTTTTTCTTTTCCTTTGGTCTTTAACAAAGCAGTTTACTTGGGCTGTGGCTACAGATCAGCAGAAAAAAAAAAAAAAGGATGACTAATCGCATCTCATTTCCACCTAACTACATGCAGAACTTTCAGTTCCTACATCCTTCATGACTTCTCCTTTGCTTTCTCTCAGAGTTTTGGTTCTAAACAACCTTCTTGCTCCACCCACATACAAATCCAGTTCCTAATCCATACCGACGTGCCTCAGATTCATGCCTCACTTTGTCCCTTGATTTCCATTGTCCTATGTATAGGTACGTACTGTAAGTCTCTTTTGATAAATCAAAACGCGTTCCCAGGTTGAATTCTAAAACAGGACACTGATACTTTCTTCTCACTGTGATCTAACTAGTCTATGCACTACTTTATAATAAATACCATTGCCTTCTACTCACTCATCAAAGCCAAAATCTACAGGTCACACTCTGCATGCATCCCATAAGACAGACCTTTCAGCTTCATCATCAAGGTTACTTTACAAACATCTACTCTCTTCCATCTTTATTAGCACTGTGGTAGATCAAGACCTTCTGGGCCTCTAAATTAGCTCCACAGCTAGTCTCTTAGGGTCTGTTCTTGTTCACCTGTATCTGGAGTGGTCTTCTTTATTCCAAGAATGAAAATGCAAGTCATACATTAGCTCCTTCCTCTTTGATGTTTTTTCCTGGTTTTTCAATGTGTTTGGAATTAAATATGTGAATAATCAAATAATCAAAGCCTCTTCAATTCCATGAGTCGTTTATCTGCTCTGCAACTTCACCCATTCCTAACCACACTCTGCTCAGTCTCTCCATTTCCTCCCATGGTGTAACTGTGAGGACACTGACTCTCATTTTCCTCCAATGGTACTACAGTTCCGTTGCCTGTCACAGTAACCTGCTCTATAATGTACATTTTCCTAGTTTTTCCTCTTTCCTCTTACACGTTTCCTCCCCTCTGGTGCTTCCACTGATCAATAACCAAATCAATACAGTGCACCCAAATCTTCATTTCTAATTTCTGTTGAATCATAAAGATTAAGACAAAATTTAGATCCATTAAATAACAAAAATTATAACAAAATTCAAGGTTTTTCTCTAATTTTATCCCATCACAGTCATATGTGTTACCTGGAAACTTGCTTGTCCTTTCCAAAGGCAAAATGTACACAAGCTGTTCTTTGGTTTTTGCTTTTAGTTTAGCATCAGGGATGTGAAGATTGATGAAGGATGCTATCTGCTCTGAATCACATGTTTCATCCATAAACAAACTAATAGTTCCAAAAAATGATAAATTATTACATTTTTGGACTGCTACCACACAAAAAAATTCTTTCAATATTACTTTTCTTAGCTTTATGAAATAAGCAAAATGAGTAATAATAACAATAATCCACCAACTTGAAAATTTTGTCATTTAAACACAGAATATGTACAAACTCTGAACAACTACAAATACACAAACACATGCTCAGAGTAGCGTTGGTGATTTAGGGGTGAGCATAGCTGCCTTCCAATTCATTCTCATTGTAGTGAATGTTATGTACACACTATAAAGATGAGCAGATAATCAGGATGGTGTTATACAAGAGATTTCATAGGGAAATGGCAGTGGACTATCAGAAATTAGTGTATTATCAAGACATTTCTGTTTTACTTTTCTGTAGGTTTTTGTCTTTTAGAATTCTTTTAGCCTACACTCAGTTTCTTTTTAGACACAGTTGTCAGAATTCTTTGGAACCATATTCGCTCCCTGCTAATACTGGTTTCTGAAAGTATTGCCTTGGATTCTTAAGAAAGAATGAAAATACTGCAATATTATGTGAACCCAATGAGGAAAATGAAGAATGAAAATGTTGAAGTTTAGGCTGCACAGAACAGCAAACTGGAAAGTAATAAAATATTCCCATAGTGAACAGACAGCTTTGACTTCTAATGTAGAAATTTTGCTAGAGTTTACATTAGTACAGATTACCAGAAGCCAAGAAATTAGACTAAACATTTCTCAATTGATTTTGTCAGAGATAAAACTTGAGACCTATTCTCTCTTAGAAATGTCCACCCCTGGTATACCACTATTAAAACAGTTATGTTGGGCTAGAAAGACGTCTCAGTGGTTAGCAGAACTTGAGACTCTTCCAGAGGACCAGATTGCATTTCCAGCATCTAAGTCTGGTGGCTCACAACTCCCTACAACTCCAGTCTTCCTCTGGCCTTCTCACATGTAGCATACAGACACAAGTAAAATAAATAGACCTTTTAAAATATCTATTTAGTGTTTTCTCCAAAATTCTTTACCTTAAGTGATATCCAAGACCCCATTTTCTCTTCAGAAACATGGAAGAACCCATGCATTTTAGACTCCCGTTGGACATGATCACTTTTCTGTCTGGGTAAAAGGAAGCAAACATGAAGGAATATTAGCAGTCATTTCTTTTCTCTCTAGCAAAGAAAGGTGAGAAATAAAAGCTCAGAATTCCAAAGGAGAAGTGCCCTATGAGAAATAACCATGCCTGCTGGACATTTGAAAATTTGAAATACATCATAAAACTGATGTGATTAGAGCTCCCAACACTAAGCATTTTAAGCTTCCTCTTGCACTTCCTAAACAGGAAAATAGTTATCATTTCAGATTACATAAGAGTATACCTGAATGATGAGGAACAGGCAGTTATTTTTCAAGTAAACATATATTAAAGATTTGGGAGTTTAAGTAAACATGATCTGAAAAAGTCACCACAAGTTTTCACTACTGGCCACAATTCAACAACAAATGTACAGCCAGTGAAGAACTCTAGGACAGGACTGGATTCCAATATCCTCTAACCTGCTTTGGAGTTGAGGTAATGAGAACAAGTTTCTTACCCTAGGAATAAATGTGACATATAAATTTCCCAAAGTTTTCATCACAACACTGAAATATAATTATCAGTTACCAGCAAGGATGTCTGCCTCATCCATGAACTGAGTGCTGAAGAGGATCACACGATTTGCCCTGCGTTCCTTCAGGAAACTCCACACGCGCTGCCTCGAAAAGGGATCCAGTCCAACAGTCGGTTCATCTAAGAGCAAAATCTATAGAGGACAAAGATAGTCAAAATGTGACTCCTCCACGTTGACTAATTCCACATAATAGCATGGAAAATGAGTAAAACACAACAAATAACTGTAACTGTACTATGTCTTTGTAGAAGCAAACACAGCAGGTTCTCACCTGATACACTGCTTTCAAAGCTCTGCCACTGCCGCCATTAGTAGCAGAAGAGCAAGGCTCTTGCTGACAATACCCTTTCTTCCCATACATACTTTTACTTACTCGAGGATCTCCTAAAATGGCAATCCCAAAGGTGAGCTTTCTTTTCTCTCCTTCACTTAAATGTTCAGCAAGGTTATCCTGAATATTTTGCATGTCCAATTCCAATATAATTTGTTGTACCTATACAAGAAACATACAAAGCCCAAAACACAAAATGATCCACATTTTACAAATTTAACTGGCCATTAAAGAAGGCAATTTTATAGAATTTCTTTGCCTAAATTTCATTCATACCAAGATAGATAAATGGCTGAGAGAATTCTGTGGTATGATTGAACAGAGAGAATGGTTGGGAGCTCAGATAATACAAGCACACAGTCTACCTCTTGTTTTACATTCTGTGGAAGAATCCCTTTTATCTTAGCAAAGAGGGTGAGGTTTTCCTTCACAGTGAGTGCATCAAATTGAACATTATGTTGAGGACAGACACCAGTTATCTTTCTGATTTCCTTCAAGTCTTGCATTTCAGAGAGATTTTTATTATAGACTGTGACTAATCCTAAAAAGTAGAAGTTAAAATACTTTAAGGTTAGCAGGGTAACATATTTCATTTATATTTAGAGATCTCATTCAATAAAATCATGGCATATGCTCATAAATATATAAAATTCAACTTTGTTAACAATTACTAGTCAGCCTAAGTACATGCTCACACTGTGCAGTACATTTTCTCTGAGATAACACACAATGAGATACTAGTGATTCCCATGAAATCTGGAAAGTGAGAAGTATATTCAAAATCATACAGTTCTAGAAGCAACTTTCGATAAAGATTATACCCATCAAACCACAGAATCTAAAATGACAGGCATATATCTACCCCTGTTCTCTTATTAAATATCTTGTCTTTGAGATATTGCTTTTTGCTTACCTGCTGTTGGAACATATAATCCACTGAGGATGTTTAGTAATGAAGATTTTCCTGCTCCACTGTGGCCCAGAATTGCTGTGATTTGACTTTCATATATATCAAAGAACAAGCCTGTTTTAGTATAAGATATTAACATTATCAATAACAGAGTATTAGACAAAGCTAGTCCTGCACACAGAACAGGACAACTGAACTTCATGATGAATGTATCGAAACTTTACATAATACTCTGAAGAGCTATGGTAACTTAAACAATGCTACTGACACACAGACCTCAGTAAAATACATACAACAATATGGTATTAGTTTAGAATCCAGAGACTAGCAGAAGTCTGGAAGGGACCAAAATATTTATAAAATAAAGATTAATAAATTACCTTTCAAATGAATAATTTTTAAAAAGATGAATAACTTAAAAAATGTTACTTTGGATGTGATGGAGTATTTCTTTAATCCAGACATTTAGGAGGCAGAGAAGACAAAAGGATCTCTAAGAGTTTTAGGCCAAACTGGTCTACATAGAGATTCCAGGACATTCAAGGGTACAAAGAGAGACCTTGTCTCAAACAAAACAAAACAAAAAACAAAGAAAAACCAAGATGTTGCACAACAAAAATGTACATTAGCAACTTTTATATTTGTGTTTTGTTTTTATTTAAACATTTTGAGACAACATGTAGCTGTGTAGCCTTGGCTAGCCAGGAATATTTGTTGTTTTTAAATTAAAAGAAAATACACAGTTACGGGCCGATGAGGTGATCGGTGGGTAGGGGCTCTTGCTGAGGAAGCCTGACAACCTGAGTTTTCGCTCCAGAACCCATGTAAAAGTGGAGGAGAGAACCAACTCCAGAAAGTTATCCTCTCACCTCCACATAAACACTGGGGTCCATGCACCCCCCTACACACACTCCATAAACACATCATGCACATATGTGCACGCACACTAATGGATTAATTAAGAGATAAATTAAATACAATAAAATAATGATAGCATTTTCAAGGCAAGAGGAAAGTGACATTGGCTAACCTGGAACTGATCTCATCACAGCAATAATTAAATATAAAACTCAGTTTCCTCATCATCAAAGTGTGAAAGAAATAATTTGACTTTCATAAAACTAAATATAAAAATTTTCACATAAAGTTCTTAGCATAATTCACATAACTCATTGTTTTAAATATATATATAGCTTATAAGCATAGGTTTTATGACTTTGGAGGTAAGTGATTTAAAATATGAATCAGGAATCTTGAAAATATTGATCTTTTCAGTGATTCTGCTCATATAAACCCATCTTCTGGAGACAGTGACCTTAATAGAGATTGAACAGATATTCATTTTAGTATTTTTACGATAGTGAAGACTTAGAAATAAACTAAATGTCAAACATTGGTGTGATAGTTGCACTCATCCTGTTACTGATACAATGCAATATTATTTAGCCCCAGGAATTGTAAAACCAAGATCTCAAAATTGATCCAGAATGGCCACAAGGAGCAGCTGCAAGAAGAGAAGGCCTAGAGAGAGCTACTCCCTCCTGGCCTTCCAGTGAGTAATTCCACATGGAAACTCTCCAATTGGAACATCTGTATATTTTTTTAAGTCTTGACACACAATGCTTTAATTTTTTAAAGTGCTACTAATTCTGAAAATGGAAGAAAAATTTTAAAGACGCAAAGTTTGTGACTCTAGTAAGTGTCAAGGTAGTTCATAATGTGCTCTGAAATTTTAAATTAAATTTAAAATTACTTCAAGAAAGCCTAAGCCAAATTTAAGAAGGAAATGATGGTATTTAATAAAAAAACTTCAAGGTAAAATAAAGTTGTTCATATATACACTGAATTCTCCAAGACCCAATCTCAGAGAAATAAATAATATTGAGCTAAGAGGAGCCCAACTGTTAGAAAATAAACACAATGCAAACAGAATGGATAGAGAACTCTCAATCTTAAGTAGAGTTTATGATCCATCCACTTTAGCTTTTTAAGATTCAGTCTTTTGTAAAACACATGTCTTATTTTATTTCTTTATATATTTATTTTTGACATGGTCTCACTATGTAGCCCTGACTGGCCCAGAACTCTCAAGTAAGACCAAGCTGACCTTAAACTCACAGAGAGCCTTTTGCCTCTGCCTCCCAAATGCTGGGATTAAAGACATATGCTAACCAAAGGACATGTCATTTGGACAAAGTGGCAGCCTACAGAATGGAAAAAGATTTTTACCAACCTCACATCGAATAGAGGACTAAAATCCAAAATATATAAAGATCAGATGTGGAGGGGGAGGGGAGATGAGGTTGAGAGAAGGAATGTGGGGAAAGACAGCTAAACCTGAGGGGCATTTGAGGGGTGGTATAGAAACCTAGTACAGTGGAAACTTCCTAAAATATATAACAGTGATCCTAATGAAGTCTCCAAACAATGAGGGAGACATAGTCCCATCTGGCCATCTCTTGTCATCAAACAAAGCTTCCAGTACTGGGACTGGGTTACATACAATTGAGTTGGGTCAAAAGGAAATCTCCAAACAACCCAGGCTGTTGCAAAGACTATCAGTTACTCTCCACAAACTGACAGCAAGGCCCCATTGCTGAAGACAACACCAACACAACTCATTGAACATGGAGAGGTCAAGCTGGTGCCTACAAAGAACCTTCACCTCTGAGATCTAGTGTCTTTGGTATTGGAATATACTCTGCAGGCTACCAAAAGAGAAATATAAACACAACTCACCCACAAAACTTTTGATCTAAAATCTGCCCTGCCTGCAAAATATGCTAGGGCAATAGTGGCACAAAGCTTGTGGGAGTAACCAACCAATATCATACTCAACACTGCTTGGGTGACCAAGAACCAGAGACTAGGTAGACCAGAGCCTAGAGTAAAAACCAAATAATTGCTGTGGGATGTTCTGTATGTCAAATGTGTTGCTGATTAGTCAATAATTAAAACACTGATTGGCCATTGGCTAGGCAGGAAGTGTAGGCGGGACAAGGAGGAGAATAAAGCTGGGAAGTGGAAGGCTGAGTCAGAGAGACACTGCCAGCCGCCACGATGAGAAACAGCATGTGAAGATGCCGGTAAGCCACGAGCCATGTGGCAAGGTATAGATTTATAAAAATGGATTAATTTAAGCTGAAAGAACAGTTAGCAAGAAGCCTGCCATGGCCATACAGTTTGAAACCAATACAAGTCTCTGTGTTTACTTGGTCGGGTCTGACGGCTGTGGGACTGGCAGGTGAGAGAGATTTGCCCTGACTGTGGGCCAGGCAGGAAAACTCCAGCTACAAATAATACTGGTTTAAAAAAAGAAAATGAAACAATAAAATGACTCCTAGTGATATTCTACTATATGTATAGATCAGTGCCTTATTCAGCCATCATCAGAGAAGCTTCTTCCTTCAGCAGAGGGGAACAAACATAGAGACTCACAGCCAGACATTATATATAGAGAGAAACCTTAGAACACACAGCTCTAAATGGGATGTCTTCATCAAATCCTTTTCCTCAGAGCTCAGGGAACCCCCAAAGAATAGAAAAGAAGGTGAAAACAGCGTAAGAACCAGAGGGGATAGAGGACACTAGAACAAAGCCCTCTAAATCAAATGAGTAAAAATCTTATGAACTCACAGAATTTGAAGCAGCAAACAGACTTGGCATGAGTCCTCAGTGTATATATTATTGTGCTTTCAGTTTAATATTTTTATGAGTCTCCCAAGTGTGTGAATGAGTGGGTCTGATTCTTGTCCTTCTATTGGGGCTCTTTCCTTCTGTCGGTTTGCCTTGTCCAACTTTAATGTGATGATTTTTGTTTTTTTCTTATTATACTTTGTTATGTTTTGTTGTTATCTCTTAGGAGCCTGTTCTTTTCTAATGAGAGATGAAAAGGGAGTAGTTCCAGATAGGAGGGAAAGTAGAGAGGAACTGGGAGGAGTAGACGGAAGGGAAACTATAATCAGGATATGTTATATGAGAAAAGAATCTATTTTTAATACGGGGGGGAGAAAGAAAAGAAAAAGATGCTACCATGCCCAGCCTAAAAATAATTTTTTAATAAAAGCAACTGAACCTCCAAAATGTAGCTGTTAATTGATGCTTGCTTAATATTTGTTATATAAAACTATTCTTCTTAAAATATTTAGTATTACAATATGCTTAATCATAAAAAATTAAAAAAATTTTTGTCATAGGATATTGATTTGTTAGTTTAATTCACTGTCAAAGGTTTTATTAATCTTGTTTTGGTTAATATTTCAGTTCACTAACACATCATTAATAAACTGTAAATTCTATGACAATCTAAAAATTTTATCAGATTCTAGCATTCTTTCCTGATACTACAAATATAAAAATGTATTTATGACAGTCTTGTAAAAAGCAAAACAAAGCTATATTTTTCACAGTATGATCACATTCTTGTAAATTAATAAATCCATGAACTATCTGGAAGGATTTTATAATAAATTCTGAATTATTATTAGTTCCAGGTGGTTGAGTTAGGCTACTTGGATTCTTGCTTCTTTCTCTTGTTTTGTTTTGTCAGTATATTTACATTTTCATCCTGAAAGCTTCCCAGGTTTTGGTATTACTGATCAAGTCAAGTAAAGAATGGACTATTTTTCTTTACCTTTCAAAGCCTCCACTTTTCCAGACTTCCCTTTATATTCTTTTTTAATATTTCTTATTCTGAAACAATAAAGAGGCATTTTATTAGCCCATATGCACAAGTAAAAATAGCACAGACAGATATGATGGTGGATGTAGAAAATACTTTATAGCAAATAACATTTGAAATAACTTGACTGCTTAGATACATAAATAATTATTTTCAATTAATTATTTCTTCTGAAACAGAAAATAAATGAGATTCTTTAGACTTTAGTTCCAGACTCATTTTGTCTCTGCAATTTGGCTTTAGTCTCATATTTACATTTATACAAGTACAGCAATATGACTATTAATAGTAATAAAATTTAAAAGAGATTAGGTCTCATCAGAAACTTTATTTAAGGCCTTCTTTGTATATTATAATGTCCACTGGCTTTGCATGTCCTTTGAAGCTGGCCCTTGTTAAGTTTCAAACCCAGGACAATGGCTGAGATACCTATTTAACATATCAAAGCTGCACCCGGCCCAGGTTCTCCCTAAATCCCTCAGTCAGGAACTTCCCTATATAATCCAGACATCTTGGTTACCCTTCCCTTTTGTGCCTTTGGCCACCTGGCTGTTGCACCTAGTTCCCCTCTCCCTCATCCCCTTCCCGTCTCTTCACAGAGGGGAGCTGAGTCTGGTCAAGGCCACTCTAGACTCTCCCAGATGTCCCTGCCTCTGGCTATGCTCTCTCACATGTCTACAATAAACTTTCTCCTCCACCATACCTAGGAGCAGCATGTCCTTTCCTTTCCTTTTTATTTCTTTTTTTCATTCAGCCTTTAACATTTTATCTTAATAAAGAAGCTCCCATTTAGGAGGAAATGATATTTTCCAGATTTCAGAGCGGAGAAGAATCATTTGCATTGGGGCAGACATTCTGTAGATTTTCTGGCAATGTTCAAACTTCTGCCCTTACTATCACATAACACTTTTTTGGTGTGCCTTCCATACATCCAATTTCTCTCTTAAAGGACATATAGCCAGGCGTGGGGCTACATGCCTACAATCCCCTGCACTTGGGAAGTGGAGGAAAGAGAAACAGAAGTTCAAGCTCATCTTTGAGTATTAAACATAGTATGAGGCCAACCTGAGCTATAGGGAGACCCTGTCTCAAAAAACAAAAGCAAAACAACGAAAGTTTTAAAACAAACCCAAAAGATAGGAGCAGGAAGTCAGACAAGATATGACAAGGTTAGGCCGCCTAGAGGTAATCAAAGGGGATTTCATTGGAGTGTGGACGGTTCAAAATGATGCTAATAACAACAATGCCTGCCCCTTCAACATTTACCACCCACCCAGAGAGAGCTGGTGGTTAACAATTTGTTAGCCTTTTATTCATATTAGCACAGTTACAAATGTGTTTACCTGATGGCTTCTTTTCCTTGGTATTCTGGAGCCACAGGCTCAAAATAATCATCTGAAGGAAGCTCAGAGTCTATCCCTCTCTCAATGACCTTGTTACTACTAGTCTTTTGTCGAAAACAAGATGATGAATTCAAGAAAAACAGTAGAGAATGACGGCGTTCATCCCTGTCTAATTAGTCAAGAATGATAAAATATCAGATCAGTATAATGAATAAAGAAGTCTTGCTCAGAAAAGAAGAAATATTTTGAAATTTCAAACATCATTCAAATTTTTTTCCTTCAGAAGAAAACTGATAAACAATGATAAAGTAAATTGCAAAAATTAATACAATAGAACTTTCAACAAAATATAAACCAAATAATTGAAAAATATAATCTAAAAGGTATCTATGAGGACAAGTGAAGACAAATATTTTTAGAAACACAATTATTAATATGGCATGTAAAAACTACAGATATGGTTATAAACTTAAATAAGGTGACCATGCCAATATAATTGAACATGATACTGAAATCTACAAATTCATATATAGGTAAATGAGTGAAAATCAACACATGCAGAAATTATTTTTCCAAGACAAATACAATATTGTAAATTTTTATTAATACAAAAGATATTAAACATTATTTGTTATTAAGGATCTTCATATATAAGCCAGAAAAAATGGACAGTGGGCATACAAATAAATACATGTAAATATACAAGACAACACTAGCTATTATCAAAGTGGGGAATATTAAAAATTACAAGCATGAATAAAGTCATGCACAGAAATGAACATTCTGATTCTAGTATACATGGGAGAACTTTGGGCTTATGTGAATTTTTTGGTTATTGATAAGATAAAGAAAATTAACTGCATGATTTATATATTTGTAAATGTAAACAAAATGTGGAAATGTTGAGAATAATGACTAACAAATATTTATTTAGAAAATGTTTCTACAGTGTAATGACCTAGTAATAACCAAACCACAGTAAGAACTAACTATTGCTTTTGCAGTTTTCTTCTGCAATGCTTTTCAATTTTGAGTTCCTTACTTACATGTTACCCACTGTCCTCGACTCGGCTCCTCTCGTCCTCTCTCCTGCTGTCCACCCAGGCCTGGGAACCTCACCTACTCCTACTCTCAATTCTTTTTTTGTCTTTTCAGGTTGTTCTGATATAAATTCTTGCTATCACTCTTTCAAAACACTTTGATGAATACTTGAAAGAGTTACAAAACTTAATATATAATTACATTTCAAAATTGACTTATATAATTATATCATTGTTTTTAAAATCAGAATAATTTTGCATAAATATTATTTACTCGAAAATACAACTAAATTCAGACTGAGATTAGGCATTTATTCTCACCTCTAAAGCTATTTTAATATAATCTTAAGAAAAACTTTTCTATGTAATCAATAAGGGAAAGGTCAGAGAAAAGTCCACTAATACTTACAGAGCAAGATTTTGTCAAAATACAGTGCCAGAACCAAGTAGATAAAACCATCAAAAGCCAATATGGAAAATGTCACTAACATTACATATGATTCTCCTGAAGAGTCAGGAAATACTACACCATTCAAGTTATAATCCAGGAAGATAATCTAAGATTCAAACAAAAATCATGATTAATTCCTAAACTCATAAATAAGACAGCATAGCACCAATAATTATTCATTTGCAAGTTAACTTTTCAAAGAAATATTTTAATAAAGGTGTAGTAAATAATAAGCAGTATACAAGTAAATAAAGCTACTAGGAATGCAAGACTGAGTCAATATTTGAATATAAATCAATATAATTCTGCATGTAACAAATGAAGGGGAGAGTTGTAATTGGTCTAGTAGATGCAGAGAAAGCACTTGAGAAGGAAAGTATCCATTCATATTGCAGGAGATTTCTTCACAAACTAAGAAGATAAATGTCTCCTTGAAATACCATGTTTAATAGTAAAATGCTGAAAATTTTCCTTTGCTTGCATTTCCAGTCAGTGTTGTCTTAGAGGTCCAGAACTGTACAGTAAGTCAAGGGGCTCACAACTGGCTATACCTCCACTTCCATGTGATCTAATGCCCTCTTCTGGTCCTGTGTGCACTGCATGCACATGGTGCACACACATACATATAAAATAAAAATAAATAAACCATTTTCTTAAATCTCTGTTCATCAAAGGAATCAATAAGAAAAGAGAAAAGTTAGCAATAACTGAAAAAAAGTCTGTTGTAGCTAGAGTTTTCCTGCCTGGCCCACAGTCAGGACAAATCTCTCTCACCTGCCAGTCCCACAGTCACTCAGACCCGACCAAGTAAACACAGACACTTATATTGGTTACAAACTGTATGGCCGTGGCAGGCTTCTTGCTAACTGTTCTTACAGCTTAAATTAATCCATTTCTATTAATCTATACCTTGCCACGTGGCTTGTGGCTTACCGGTACTTTACATCTTCCTTGTCCTGATGGCCGCTGGCAGTGTCTCCCTCACTCAGCCTTCCACTTCCCAGTTTTTTCTCCTCCTTGTCCCGCCTATACTTCCTGCCTGGCCACTGACCAATCAGCAACACATTTGACATACAGACCATCCCACAGCAGTCTGTTACACAGCATATGTAGGAAATTGTTATAAAGTAATAAGGAAAATATAAAGAACTCAGTAGAAATTCAAAGAAAACATCTGAATAGAAAATTTGCAAAAGAAAAACACAAAAAGATACTACATTAAAAGGTATCCAATTTTATCAAAGGCATCCAATTTTATCAAAAGTCTAGAAAACACAAATGAATGATTACAATAATAAATCACATATTCATTAGAATAGCTAAAATTTGAAAATTTACCAATAACAAATGTTAGTAAACACTGAGAAAAACTGGAATATTCTAGCATCATTTTTATATAAGTCAAATAAAGTAATCATTTTAGAAAGTATTTAGTGACAGTATTAAGGTTTCTATACACTAGTCCCATTTTCCAACTCCTACTTATACACCAAACAGAACTAGTATACAGAAACAGATGAAAGAATGTCTGTAATAGCTTCATCAAAAAACCATCAAACCCTGGAATTCTACTCATTTATCAAAAAGAAAGTAATATAGGCATACAATAAGATGGTATATAACACTATACTATAGCTATATACAAGACTATGCATGATACTTAACATAATACTGAGTGGAAAAGTTAATTTTTTAAATATATTTTGTGTAGCATTTCTTACATAAATTTAAAAATGGATGAAACAAATATTTGTATTTCAAAGCCCAAACTTGACTGGTAGTAAACCGCAAGGAGGTAATTTTCATAAAATGGTTACCTGTGGAATGATGGTATATTTAGAGGTGCTTCACAATGAACACAGTATTCTACTTCTTAAAAAGTTCATAAGTACACTGATGGGCTTTATAAATTTTGTTATAGTATGTACTTACATCTTCAAAGATTTTCATAATTGATTCATAAATTACACAATAATGTGCTTTAAAATATGTTTACACAGAATTTTTTACTAACTAGCTGTTTTTATTTTAACTTTTATTCAATGGCAATTTTTTTAATAATGTAGCAAATTTAGCTTTGTAGCAAGACAGTTACTCTGGTAAAAAGCTCTTGGTTAGGGCCAGAGTGGCCTCTAAGGAGTCGTCAAGAATTAATTCCTTTTAAAGCATCAATAATAACCTATGTTTTTACCTTAGCCATCCCAGAGGTGAAGGCAAAAGGGCTGCAAATGCTCAGAATCCATTCCAGAGATGTGGGGAGTTGTTTATGAAGTACAGTGAACCCCACACATCCCCAAAGGAAGGTAAAGAGAAATACGATTAGATTGGTGAGGACAGCTTTCTGTAACAAAACAGCCACCAGGAAAGTGACAGCTATCTGAAAGAGAAAAGACATTGGCTGTTGCAGGTAATAGCCTTTGAGGGACATCAGCACAACCAGGTTCATTACTTCATACAAGATATTATCACTGAGAAAGTGAGAGGAGTGTGAAGTTCTACCAACTCTATTCTGCCCTCTAATCTTTTTTTTTTTTTTTAAATAAGATCCTTACATGCCCTACCCATTTGCTGGGTTTTTGTTTCTACAAAAGAGACAGGGAAAGCTGAAAGATAATCCAAGAATAGGGTAGAACACACACTGTTGGGGAATTAAGCAAAGCTAAATTAAGGTACTAAGGAAAATTATCCATCTACATGACTTCTTCAGAAAACATCCTAGATGATGAAAAAATACAGAAACCACTGTTCAGAGAAGGATGGAGAGATGGGAAGGAGGAAAAGGACAGAAAAGAATGAAAAACTCAAGGAGCTGGAAGGACGCTATATGGAGATTGCTAAGAATAGATCAAACAGTAGAGGATATCTGCCTCTATGGAAATACCACAATGAATTCCAGTAATTTATTTAATAACGTGTCAATAATTATAATAAGCACTATTTGAATTATATGTAACACTTTTTTTTTAAAAAATCCTTTAATATTTTTAGAGTAAACAAAAATTTTGAGCTCTTCTTTCTCTGTGTTCTCCTAAATCAAATATCTCAGTCTCACACCACTAAAATCAAAAGAAGGGATGCACTCACACACACACACACCACCACCACCACTACCACCACCACTGCAACAACAACAAAGCAGCAGCAGCAGCAGCAGCAGCAACAACAACAACAACAAAATAACAGCATCAACATTAACTGGTCATTGATATCTCTAAATATTAATGGTCTCAATTCCCTCAATAAAAAGACACAGACTAACAGAATGAATGGAAAAACAGGATCCATTCTTCCACTGCATCCAAGAAATATGACTTACCATCAAGGCTAGGATATTACCTTGTGGTAAATGGTAGGAAAAACATATTCCAAGAAAATGGGCTGAAGAAGCAAGTGCTGTGGCTATTTTAATATCTAACAAAATAGACTTCACATAAAAAATTAATGAAAAAAGATAGGGAAGGATATTATATACTCATTAATGGAAAAATCCATCAAGATGAAATTCCAACTCTTAGCATCTATGAGCCAAACACAGGACACAAGTTTGTAAAAGAAACACTACTACAGATTAAAGCACATATTGACCCTCACACATTAATAGGGGGAACTTCAATAGCCCACACTCACCAATGGACAGGGCATCCAGATAAAAAATAACAAAAAATACTGCAACTAACAGATACTATCAACCAAATGGACCTAAGAGATATCTACAGAACATTTCACCCAAACACAAAATAAACTTTCTTCTCTGCACCTTATGGAACTTTCTCCAAAATTGACCACATACTCGGTCACAAAGCAAGTCTCAACAGATACAAGAAAATGGAAATGACCCCCTGCATTCTATCAGACCACCATTAAAGCTGGGTTTCAACAACAGAAACATCAGAAAGTCTAAAAACTCATAGAAATGAACAATTCTCTACTGAATGACTACTTGGTCAAGACAGAAATAAGGAAAAAAATAAAGACTTCCTAGAATTCAATGAAAATAAATACACAGCATACCCAAACTTATAGGACACAATGAAAACAGTGCTAAGAAAAAAGTTCATAGCACTAAGTAGAAAGATCTCATACTAGCACCTGAACAGCACACATGAAAGATCTAGAACAAAAAGAAGTAAACACACCCAAGAGGAGTAGAAGACAGGAAATAATCAAACTGAGGACTCAGATCAATAAAATAGAAGCAAAGAGAAAAATACAAAGAATCAGTGAAATGAAGAGTTGGTTCTTTGAGAATGTCAACAAGATAGATAAATCCTTATCCAAACTAACTAAAAGGTGGAAGACAATATCCAAATTAACAAAATCAGGAATGAGAAGTGGGACATAACAATAGACACCAAAGAACCCAGAGAATCATAAGGATATACTTTAAAAATCTGTACTCCACTTACCAAAGTTAATCAAAATTAGATAAACAATGTAAGTAGATCTATAACTCCTAAGGAGAGAGAAGCAGTCATTAAGTCTCTCAACCAAAATGAGCATAGGGCCATATGGTTTTACCATAGAATTCTACCAGAATTTCAAAGACAAGTTACTGCCAATACTCCTCAAATTATTCCACAAATTAAAACAGAAGGAATATTGCCAAAATTCATTTTATGAGACCACAATTACCCTGATACCCAAACCACACAAAGACAAAACAAAGAAAGAGAATTACAGACCATTTTCCCTCATGAACATTGATGCAAAAATACTCAATAAAATGCTTGCAAACAAAATCTAAGACACATCAAAAAGATCATCCACCATGATCAAGTAGGCTTCATTCCAGATATACAGGGATGATTCAGTATACAAAAATCAGTAAATGTAATCCACCATATAAACAAACTGAAAGAAAATAAAACTATATGATCATCTCATTAGATACAGAAAATCCAACACCCCTTCATGATAAAAGTTGTAGAGGGATTTGGGATATGAGGAACATCACTAAACATAATAAAGGCAATTTACAGCAAGTCTATAGCCAACATCAAGTTAAATGAAGAGAAACTCAAAACAATTTCATTAAAACCAGGAACAAGACAAGGTTGTCTATTCTCTCCATTTCTACTCAATACAGTACTTGAAGTCTTAACTAGAGCAATAAGACAACTGAAAGAGATCAAGGGGATACAGACTGAAAAGGAAGAAGTCAAAGTATCATTATTTGCAGATGATATGATAGTGTACATAAGTTACCTTAAGAATTCCACCAGGAACTCCTACAGATTGTAAATACTTTCAGCAAAGTATCTGGATACAAGATTAACTCAAAAATCCAATAGCTCTCCTGTGTACAAATGACAAATGGACTGAGAAAGAAATTATGGAAACAACTTTCAAAACAGCTTCAAATAATATAGACTATCTTGGGTAACTCTTAGCAATCAAGTGAAAGACTTGTATGATAAAAACTTCAAGTCTTTGAAGAAAGATACTGAAGAAGATACCAGAAAACAGAAAGATCTCCTATGCTCAGTAAGATTAACATAGTAAAAATGGCCATCTTACCAAAAGCAATCTACAGATTCAATGCCATCCCCATCAAAATTCCAAAACAATTCTTTACAGACCTGAAAGGACAATACTCAACTTCATATGGAAAACAAAAAACCCAGGATAGCTAAAACAACCCTGAACAATAAAAGAACTGCTGGAGGTAGGGCAGGCCTCACCATTCCTGATTTCAAGATGTACTACAGAGTTATAGTAATAAAAATTACATAGTATTGACATAAAAACAGACAAATTGATCAATGTTATCTAATTGAATACCCAAAGATAAATCTACACACATATGAATGCCTGGTTTTTGGTAAAGAAGCCAGAAATACATGGAGGAGGATTATCTTCAACAAATGGTGATGGACAAATTGGGTATCTACATGCAGAAGATTGCAAGTAGAGCTATACTTATCACCCTATATAAAACTCAAGTCCAGGCCGGGCGGTGGTGGCGCACGCCTTTAATCCCAGCACTCGGGAGGCAGAGCCAGGCGGATCTCTGTGAGTTCGAGGCCAGCCTGGTCTCCAAAGCGAGTTCCAGGAAAGGCGCAAAGCTACACAGAGAAACCCTGTCTCGAAAAACCAAAAAAAAAAAAAAAAAAAAAACTCAAGTCCAAGTGGATCAAAGACCTCAACATAAAACCAGATACATTGAACCTGATAGAAGAGAATGTGGGGAATAGCCTTGAACACAATGGCATAGTAGATGATGTTTTGAACAGAACACCAATAGGACAGTCACTAATATCAATAATTGATAAATGGGACCTCATGAAACTGAAAAGCTTCTGTAAGGCAAAGGACACCATCAATCAGACAAAGCAGCAGTCACAGAACAGGGAAAGATTTTTAACAACTCCACAATCAATAGAGGACTAATATCCAAAATATATAAAGAACCCCAGAAAATGCATATCAAAAAAACCCAGATAATCCAATTTTAAAATGGGGTACAGATCTAAACAGAGAATTCTCAATAGAGGAGTCTCAAATGCCTGAGAAACACTTAAAGAAATTTTCACTATCCTTACCCATCAGGGAAATGCCAATCAAAACTACATTGAGATTCCAACTTATACCTGTCAGAAAGGCTAAAAACAATAACACGAGTGGTAGCTTATGCTGGGAAGGATATGGAGCAAGGGGAACATTCTTCCATCACTGGTGGGAGTACAAACTCATACAGCCACTACGGAAATCAATATGGTAATTCCTCTGAAAGTTGGGATTTGATCTACTTCAAGACCTAACTATACCAACCACTCTTGTGCATATACCCAAAGGAAGAAGCTCTATCCTATCACAAAGACACTTGCTCAACTAGGTTCATTGCAGCTTTATTCTTAATAGCCAGAAACTGGAAACAACCTAAATGTCCCTTCACAGAAGGATGGATAAAGAAAATGTGCATTTACACAGTGGAGTATTACTCAGCTATTTAAAAAAAATGAGATCATGAAATTTCCAGTCAAACGGATAGAACTAGGAAAAAAATCATCCTAGTGAGGTAACCAAGACCCAGAAAGATAAATACTGTATGTATTCATTTATAAGTGGTTATTAGCCATTAAGTAAATAATAACCAAGCTACAATCCATAGACCCAGAGAGGTAAGGTAAAGACAAGAGGTGTAGATGCATGGATCTCCCTGGGAGGGGAGACTGCAGGCAGAGATCCCTGGAAATGCAGGGCATATGAGGAATGGGAAACCCAGTGCAGTGGAAACTTCCTGCAATATGTGAAGGTGATTCTAATGAGGTCTCCTAGTAATGGAGGATATGAGTCTCTACTGGCCATCTCTTGTAATCAGGTGAGGCTTCCAGTGGTGGGACTGGGTTGCATTCAGTTGAGTTGTTGGCTAAGGGGGTCCCATGGAAATCCCCAAACAACCCAGGCTGATGCTAAGACAAAGGTTTGCTCTCTGTAAACTGACAATAGGGCCCCATTGCTGAGGACAATACCCAACAACTCTTTGAACATGGAGAAATCAAGCTGGTGCCTACATGGAGCTTTCACCCCTACATTGTAGCCACTTTAGTGTAGGAAGATACTCTGCAGGCTACCAAAAAAGAAACATGAGTCCAGATACAAAACCAATGACCAGAAACCTGTCCTGCCTGCAGAATATGCTAGGGAAATGGTAGCTAACAACTTGTGGTAGTAGCCAACCCATGTCTGATTTGCCTTAAGGCCCACTCCAGATGGAACCCATACCCAACATTGCTTGGATAATCAGGAACCAGAGAGTAGGTAGCCCAAGGATCTAGGATAAAACAAAACACTAATAGTCTAAAAAAAATTCAATAACATGACTCCTAATGCTACTCTGCTATGCTCATTGATCAATGCCTTATTCAGTTACCACCAGAGAAGCTTCCTCCTGCAGCAGATGGGCATGGGTGCAGAGACCCACAGCCCAACATTACTCAGAGAGAATCTAAATGGGAGGTCTCCATCAAATCCCTGCCCTCAGTGTTTAGAGAATCCCCTGGAAGAGAAGGCTGAAAAATTCTAACAGCCAGAGGGAATGAAAGACGACAGGAGAACAAGGCTCTCTGAATCAACTAAGCAAGGTGCATATGAGCTCAGAGACTGAAGCAGCAAGTAGGGGGCCTACATGAGTCTGCTCCATGTCCTCTGCATATACGCGATAGCTTTTAGCTTAGTATCCTATGGGAGTCCTGAGCATGAGAATAAGTGTGTCTCTGACTCATGTGCCTCCTCTTGAGAATCTTTTCCTCCACTTGGGTTGTCATGTCCAATTTTGATATGATAGTTTTTGTTTCGTCTTATTATATTTTGTCATGTTTAGTTGTTCTCTCTTAAAAGCCAGTTATTTTCTAATGAAAGACGGAAAGGGAGTGGATCTGGAGGGGTGGGGAGGTAGGGAAGAACTGAGAAGAGTGGAGGGAGGGGAAACTATAATCAGGAGATATATATATAGATATAAATATGGATATAGATATAGATATATATAAAAGAATCTATTTTTAATAAAAGAAAAATAGAAAAGAGAGTAAGTCCCTTGCTTATGTCTAATTCATACTACAGATACACAAGGTGATTGAAGTAGCACCTCAGCGAAGCTCAATGCTTCACAATGGCCTTTTCCCATGATGCCAGAGTTACTCTAATGATCATAATCAAACCAGTCCACAGACTAGCTATATATCAGCCTTCTTTCCTTCTACTCTTCCCCTTGCTTTTTCTTTCGTCAATTCTAAGTAGTAATGTATTATCTTCACTTACATCTACTGAATATGGTGGAATAAAGTTTAAAATTTACCTCTGTGAGACCAGTGTTAGTTGGTCACCATGATAAAATAAAAAGTAAACTTAAGCCGCAGTACTAGCTGCAAGATATGTTTTACTCATTTAAGGTAATTAAAAGTTTCACAATTAAAAATTTGAAATATCTCAAAAGATTTTATGAAAAAATATTTTTGATGCCCCATTTCATTATGTGATGCACAAGACTTCTGTGAAAAAAAGAGAGGCCCAATTTACTTGGGTTTACATTATTTTCTAATATCTATTGAAATTTTCTGAAGCAAACTCATATGTGCATCCACATGCTCTTACACACACACACACACACACACACACACACACACACACACACAGCAGACATTAAAAAAGTGCCTTCCTAACATCATGGAGAATTAATGTTTACTACTCACAGCTAAGATCTAATACGTAAAAAATGATAATAAATGCATACACTTACCAAAGATAATCCATATAAGAAAAAAAGTGTAAATATGACAAAGAAGCCAGTCATCACTACAATTTGAGCAGTTGTTATGATAACTGCAATGAGTATGGAAATAATGAAGATGAAGCCAACATAGATTAAGCCCCAGGACAGCCTAAACAAAGACAAAAGGCATTTAAATTATTTAGCCTTTTAAATAAATGTTTTTAAAAAGACAAAAGCTTCTAAAGAAAACACTGTTACTCTGGTATGTACACTCTAGTTTAATGACTATGATATTGATAATATGGCTGAAGTCCACTATGCATACTGTTCTTCATTATAAATCTCCATCTTTTCCCCCTAAGGTAATCACTTTAGCAAACATCCTGTTTATGAATCCTGTGCATTCTGATTGCCTTTACCACACAGTAATGGGAGGTGCCAAATACTATTATGGCACCAACCAATTGGAAAGAATGTCACAACAAATTAAGTGGCTATAGACCAAAAAATGCCCTTGCTGGTACCTGAAGGCCAGGCTTCCATATGTATCTATTGCACAAATACTATGAGCATTGTATAAACTGTATGGTTTATGCTGTAATTGTATGTAATTTGCCTTTATCAAGCAACATTATCTATTACATATGAAGCTTATATATTTCATTGTATTAATATATTCTAGTGTTCTTCTGATATTAGATAATTGTTTCCTATTTTTCTTTGTCATAATGGTGTCAAGAATTTTATTACATTTGTTTTATGTAAGATGTAGAAGAATATCTCTAAAGTTAAATTACTGAATTAAAGTTTATGTCATCAGTTTTATTAGATATTACCAAATAACCCTAACTGTAAAGCTGGAATAAGACTTACTAGCTGATGGTCAGTCAAATGTCAATCAAATGGCTCTACAAACATCAGGAGCTTGAGCATCTCTGGAGGCAACACTACCACTCTTTACAGAAAACTAAAAACCCACAATTCCACTGATGACATTGTATGCTTCCTATTCCTATTATTTCTTTACTTGAATGAATATGTTACAGCACATCTTTACACTTTTACATAATTTTGCTTTAGATGTGTTGATGTTCACATTTTTTACAAGATATTTGTTAAAGAATATCATCCATTATTAGATCTGACTAGACTATAAGAATGCATGTGTCCAAGCTTCTCATTTACAAATAATAAGACTGTGGTCCTTTAATTAATGGGTATATGAAAAGTCACAAAATAAATACACAAGGTATGAATGTAATTGCAGCCATTATTCTGCCCAGAGTTCTTTCCTCTGTTTAAAATTGTATAATCAATAAGAATTCATCTCCTGCAGAATGCAGCAAAAGATGCAAGCTTTGCAACAGTACACCCAAGTAAAGTATGTTTAGCTGGATTTACTACTTATTTAATTTTTAACCTTATATCACTAAAATGAATGGGCCTTAGAAACATCAGCATTTATGAAAAGTGTATCATATTCTGTGAATTTACTTCCTAAGTACAGAATGGGACTGCTTTATGCAGGTTGAAAAACCACAGTGTAAGAGAATTATGAAATAAAGACATTAAAATAATTACTGAAAGGGGGAACTAGCTATAGGGGTGGAGTTTGAGAAGTGATACTAATAAACTTACATAAAATATTCTTGCTTGCAAAGCAATATAAGCATCATACTATTAAAAATAATTACTACATTTCATATTTATGGCATTAGTTGAAGTCATATTTATTTCCAAGAGATGTCTGACACTTGGAAAACATATTTCCAAAGCATTTTCTTTCCTACTTCTAATAATATACATATCAATTCATTTTTCCAGGTTTTAATTTATATGCATACTAAGAATCATCCAGAAAATGACTTGACATCAGAATGTTTAGTATCTCTTTGGTCCTCATGTCAGCCTGACTGGTACCTCCCTAATTAAAGGTGACCCTAGGCATTCTGTCCCCTAGGACTTGCCTTGGACTGAAAGGAGTCCCCTGAAAGAAGTCTGCTCTCTCTCTTCCTTACTAACAGACTTGAATGACAGGATATACATCCATTCTTCTGTCATTACCAATGCTTCCACACAAAAATTCTTCACTTTTTAAAGACATGGTTTCCTCCTTTTCTATTTCCCAATCCATATACCTTAGAACTAAAATTACCTTTGTTGGTAAATATATTCTACACAGAAAGAAAGATTTCTAGACAATTTCACTTCAGAGAATACAAGTTACTAGATTGTTCAATAAATAATTATTCATCCAATCCATGTAGTTTTATCATTCCACACATATAGTTTTGGGTTTTGTTTGTGTATATTTTAAGTGGTATGTGTTTGAGTTTTCATCAGGTTTGGCTTATCAAGAAGGGTCTCAAGTTCTCTCTAAACATCTCAGGTAAGCTAAAAACTCTCCATCTTCCAGAATCCACCTACCCAATACTAAGATTACATGCCTGTACTTCCAAGCTCAACCAAGTGCTTTCTTGATTTATGTAATATAGAGAGAATTATCCCCTAAGAATCAATATCAAAGCATGCCATGTTTCTTCTTTGCTGTGGGATGTTCTGTATGGCAAATGTGTTCCTGATTGGTCAATAAATAAAACACTGATTGGCCAGTGGCTAGGCAGGAAGTATAGGCGGGACAAGGAGGAGAATAAAGCTGGGAAGTGGAAGGCTGAGGCAGACACTGCCAGCCGCCACAATGACAAACAGCATGTGAAGATGCCTGTAAGCCATGAGCCATGTGGCAAGGTATAAATTAATGGAAATGGATTAATTTAAGCTGTAAGAACAGTTAGCAAGAAGCCTGCCATGGCCATACAGTTTGTAAGCAATATAAGTCTCTGTGTTTACTTGGTCGGGTTTGAGCGGCTGTGGGACTGGCAGGTGAGAGAGATTTGTCCTGACTGTGGGCCAGGCAGGAAAACTTTAGCTACAAATGGCGTCCAACATGGTGGCAAGAGTTTCCACCTAAAAACTGAGAAAAAAGATTCTAAAATGGAACTAAAAACAGCTTCCTAATTGTCTCTCTCAAATGAGTGGCAGCTGCCAGTTTGAGCTACTGGTGGGTTCCTAGCGTGCACGCTCGACCTGCTGCCCTATGGCGGGAATGAGGCCTTTGCAAGTGGCAGATTAAGCTGCATGGTGGATTTAGACTTTGCTAGCACAAAACAAAAAAAGAGGTTTCTGGGCTACACGCTGCTTGGCTAAAGCATAGACCCACGATAGCTCCCAGAGCTGGTGGTAAACCACCGCCATGTTGGGAAGCTGAGGTGGGCGGAGCCAGCAGCCACAGCTGCTGCAGTTTAAAGCAAGAGATTCACAATAAGACAGATTCAGATGTAATAGTTTATAATGTGTGTAAAAGATACGTAGGCTTGAAAGAGACAAAAAAGGTGATATATAAAGTTATAGAAACAAATACATAGTTTTAAAAAATAAAGTCTTTAAAGAGACAGTAAAATTAATATAAAAAATAAGCCACGTGAAGATGAATATTACACAGAGAATCTGGATTGTGTTGTCTTTGGGATTTTTAACTGCAGAAAAACATTTGATTGTAAAAGATGTTGAGTTAAACCAATATGTATATTTTAAAGATACCTTGACTTCAAAATTTGGATATAAAGATATGTTATATAAGGATATGTTGCTTTGGAAAAGAGTCTCTGCTTTTGTTCCCACAGAAAGCCAGAGGCTATGGATTTGTTCCAGATTAAGATACATCAGGTTTGACCAGCCAAGACCCCCTGAAAGGTCTCTGATGACACCATGGCCCAGATGATCCAACATCCAGAACGATTTGAAGGCAACTGGCTCAGACGATACACCCTCATGGACTATTCCATAATTCTAAAATTTTCTTTGTATCCCCATAAGATACAGCGCCCCCCTCCAGCAGGAAGTAGTAAGAGAAGCTACGCCCAAATTCCCAAATTATATGTAATTTTACTTTGCTAAGGTTAAAACCTTCCTTTTTGAAAAAGAAAAGGGGGAAGTGCTGTGGGATGTTCTGTATGGCAAATGTGTTGCTGATTGGTCAATAAATAAATCACTGATTGGCCAGTGGCTAGGCAGGAAGTATAGGCGGGACAAGGAGGAGAATAAAGCTGGGAAGTGGAAGGCTGAGGCAGAGAGACACTGCCAGCCGCCACAATGACAAACAGCATGTGAAGATGCCGGTAAGCCACAAGCCACGTGGCAAGGTATAGATTAATGGAAATGGATTAATTTAAGCTGTAAGAACAGTTAGCAAGAAGCCTGCCACGGTCATACAGTTTGTAACCAATATAAATCTCTGTGTTTACTTGGTTGGGTCTGACGGCTGTGGGACTGGCAGGTGAGAGAGATTTGTCCTGACTGTGGGCCAGGCAGGAAAACTTTAGCTACACTTCTTAACACATAATTTTCCTTTTGACCTGATAATATACATTTTGTCACTGATACTTACCAAATTCTGTGCTTTGTTTCAGAGCAGTTTAGATGTTATACTATTTGTATTTCTATCTATTAAATTCATCCAGTATTTTCCTAGGTCTTTATTTCTATGAAAGTACTCCCTTTTATTATGTCACAAATACATAAATAGATACATTCCTGTATATATACAAACATTATACATATATTTCAAAATTACTTTAAAGTGTTTGTGGGGTGAGACAAAGAATAAATATTAATAAGTAGTTCAGGTGCTGTTATTAAGTTCTTCCTAAACACCAGCCTATATGTTATGTCCTGATCATAATGCATCACTTAATACAGCATTTACTTACTTCAAAACACCCCTGGTTGGCCAAGCCCATGCACACAACACACCCTTTACAAGACTATTTTCTTCACATAAGGAAGTGGGGAGAAGTCAGTTTATAACTAGAAGCAGATCAGGCAGAACTGCCATCAGAACTGCACCACTGAGACCCGGCTCTGGCGTTTGCCATCTACCTGACACTGAGTAACTCTCTTATCTCATTTGCCTTTATTTTCCTTGATAATAGTGCCTACATCTTAGAGGCTGCATAAAAAAAGCCAGAATTAAAAGCATGTTCAGTGAGTTACAGTTAACTATCTTCCGTGGAAAATTTAACAAAGACTAAATCTAGTAGTCAGAGCAAAAGAACAAGTAGCCCACATATCAAATTTAAACTGTGGAATTATAAAACAATAACACTTCTGCTGTTTTATGATTTCTGTATGACTCACCAGAATGCTGAGTCTTGTAGACCCATTATTTTCATCAATTCCTTATACTTTTTCCTCTCTGTAGTAATATTACGTGATACAAAATATATGAATGAGGAGAAATAAAGCAAGCAGAATAGAATAAAAACTTCATATTGAAAAACATCTTTAGTAATAAAAGGTAATGTCTTCATATTTATTGCATTAACAGACATCAAGTCCTCCATCACAGAGTGGTTTGTTGTGATCTAGAGAAAAGCATAAGCAAACAGAAATTAAAGGACATAAATTGACCAAACTGGAGTGTTTAAGATTGCACTACTGTCTTTTTTAGTTTAATGTTGTAATCTAGTAACACAAAGTATCACTGTCAGGGGGAACTGGGCATGCTGTTTTGCAGGTTAACCATTTCAGAACTAGAAGTTTTAAATCAAGTGGTCTCTTCCTTGTCTAAAAATCTGTGTTTGCATAATTGCTAGTTTAAATGTGCCCCTCCACATCGCATTTGGAAAATTCACCCTCACTGTAGTATTAGAGGGAAGATGTTTGGGGAAGTAAGTCATGGGGGCCCACTCTTGTGGATGGATGAGTGACTCATCAAAGGGTTGGCAAGTGTTTCTAGTGTGCAATTTGCCCTTTTGCTCTTCTGCCAAGTGAGAACACAGTGTTCTTCTTCTCTTTGACCTTTCATCTCTTCTGCCATGCAAAAACTCCTAGACTGTGACAACTGTGAGAAATAAGCTTGTTGAGGCCTAATCATATACTTGCCGGATTTGAGAACTGTGAAAAATAATGATGCTCTTTATAAATTACCCAGCCTTGAGTGTCTAGTTATTGCAAGGCAAATGAACTGTGAACTCATCTTTGTTAATAGTTTTGATGCCTATGAAATTAGTTATAGTAGCCACCAGAATTTTGCAATTAAGCACTCACTTCTATAATAGCAGCATTGATGGCACTTTGTAAAGGCACAAATCCGCTTTTCCAGTATCTGGACAATGAACATGAAACACCACCATATACATTCCAGCAATGAACTGTAAACACAAGGAAAAGTATAACCATCATTATGGGATAAAGGCAGATTTGGAATGAGGAATAAGAACCTAAGAGAAAATGATGGAGACTCCACTAGTCAGAGTTTTTAACCTCATAGAGAACACAGGAACAGTGGTGCACACCTGCAATCCTAGCACTCAGAAGGCTGAAGCAGAAGAATACTATTCCAAAGCAAGCAAGCAAACAAACAAACCAACAAGGTAATTTTGAAAAGAGGCAAATATGTTAAGGTGAATGGTTTAGAAAAAGCAGCTGTTCTCTCACACACCACGAGACTAGGGATGGAGCAATCACTTCCTGAGACACGACAAACAAGCCTTTAGGGTTTCTATAGCAAAGCTACACACACACACACACACACACACACACAAAAAAAAAAAAAAAAAAAAAAAAAAAAAAAAAAAAAAACCTCCATTTCTATGCCTAAAGGCTTGGAACTTTCCTAGAGTAGGATATGTGCATGAGAAGAAAATTTTGTCCCAAATAACCTAGAATCAATTATAGTAAAATGCACACCTCCAGGTAGGAAGTAGAGATGCCAATGAGATGCAGTGTTTGAAAACTTGTGACAAGCTATTGCACAGACACGTAATGATGAAGACAAAGGACCACAACCCTTTCTGGGGGAGAAACAGAAAACAAGGTGTGCTACCTATACTCTGGAAGTCTCAGGAATTTTCTTACTAATATTTTCATGTGGCCTCCCCTGTGCTATAGCATTCAAATACAGCTTTTACTCTGCATTTGAATGTCTCTGAATAGTCCTTTGCTACAAGTGACAAGATCCACAAGTCTGTGGCAATTTTACTTACAAAGACCACTTCTCCCTTGATCCTGATCTCCTCAGAAAGCGACTTCATCCTAGAGGGGTTTCTGAGTCACCATTAATTTCTTAAGTACCTCTATTGTCGCTATCATCTTATTTGTATATCCTTTTTTATCCTTTCCTACCTCCTGCCCCTGACTAGAATGATTCTTATAAACAGGCTCCATGGTTTTCATTCACTATACTCTTCAGGAACTCAGCAGTCTGCACTCAGTATATGAACAGTAGTGAAGAGCTGATTCTACAGGTTACATCAATTTTATGTCCTCAAGTGTCCTTCCGCCTTTTCAGCTGCCTCCACTATCATCTAAGTGGTCTTCAGGTTTCATTACATTCTCCCTGAACTTCCTGCAACTTGAATTCTCTGGGCTGTATTAGGAGTGCTCTCTTAATCTTGGACAACTCTCCACATGCTTCCCTGATTAAAGTACTGCAATGACTATCCATAGCCTAGGCTTACAAAATGCCAAACTAGACCTAGTCCTTATGTGACTGCAAAATCATTCTCCCCTCACATCCCATGGCTTTTCATGCTCTTCTTCCAGCTATTAATATGCCTCTATCCTACTGAAATACGGTATCTCTAGCTCCTCACACTTGCTGTTCCTTTGGTCTTATTTTAAAAGTTACTTCTCTAATGCAACAATCAATTAAGAATCCTGGATCCAAGTTACCACAAGTACTTTCCCTTGCACTTGCCACTAATTATTCAATGCTTGTCTCTCCTGGTCAAATGCTAGAGCATCTGACATTGGCATCTAATCACTCCCTTAGACCTGTGAGCTCAACAGATGTATGCTGAATTATTATGCAGTACTGTGAAATAAACCTCTAAAATTAATATAAGGGCAGCAATAAAATGTTCATCTGTTTTTTTCCTATGAAATTGAAAGTATCTGTTGCCCGACCTGTTTCTTCTTGTTGAAAACACAAAGACTGTCACAATAGTATTTTATATGAAAAGTCACCTAATAAGTCTTCTTTCAAAAATGGATTTCCATGCGTTAGAAATACCTCTAACTTGTAAGAGAAAGTGTCGTTAAATATGATTCCAAGAGCATGGGGAATATTCTTCAGAAGCACTTCATCCAAGTCATTTTTACTTGGTACCCCAATGATTCTTGTCCCTGTGAGGTATAAGGTGAAAAACTGGGTGTACAATATTCTACCAAAACAAAATGTGTTATTAGGCTGAGCCATGTTTTTATAGACTTTTACACTTAAACTAAACAAACTAAAAAGCAACCTAGAATACATTATTTTACTGTTTCAAATCATAGAATCCAACTGTGTACGCAAATTACATGTTTTAATAAGACAAGTGGTGGATGAAGAATAAAAGACCACTATGCCCTTAAATATAAGAGTAATCCACTATTGTCATTACTATACCCCTGAGGATTCCAGAATTCTTCCTGAAGCAAAATCAATTTACATGACTTTTGTCTTATGCAGAAACAAAATAACAGACTCTATAACAACCAGAAATTCATCAGTTAGTAACTGAATATTAAAGAATAAATAGCCAGACTACACCCAGGTTGCTCATAAATGAAATATGTATTTTATTAGTCTTGGTCACAAAATCACAACCTTTAAAGGTTTTGCATTCTATACTATATATAAGAAAGAATATCACCTTCAGATTACACATCAATAATGCTCATACTTATAAACTTATTGTTAAATAGTCATGAACTAATTACTTAGATTTTTAACAAGCTATAAATCTTTATCATTGGATATACATGTTAAAAATATACATGCACCAACAGCTACATTTCTCCCAGTTGTTGTTTTTCAAATTTGTAAGTTTTTTGCTTTTTGTATGCTCTAATACAAACATAGGCCTACATAAATTGAATCCCTATCAAGCTGAAAGAATTTTAAAATCTTGTTGTAAAAGAAAAATAAAAACCTAAGAAGATTATATATTATCTTGATACTTGAATTTATTATAATGTTATACTGGAACTTCAAACTAACAAGTACATATCTTATTAAAAATTATAAATCAATAAGGCTAATTCTTGTCATTAGCATATTTACCTTTCATAGAGGGAGCAAAAGCTGTTTTATTCATTATCTGTTGGGTTATGTTAGATATTGGTGTATATACAACCACTATAGAAGATCCATTAAATTCATCTAAACTTCCAAGATCCTGAGGTGGGACTTCGGGGATTTGTATATTTACTTTGATATATGAAAACAGACCCATATACAGTCCTATAATAATTGGGATGCTCCATTCCTATAAAACAGTTTTAAAGAGAGAAAATAATGAGCCTAAACTTATTTCTCCTCAAATTGGTCAACACCAAAGAACTTTGAAGACAAGTTCAATTTTTCCATATGTATGGCATCTCATTGCTATACACTCTTCAGAAAAAGGAAAACTCAATGAAGAACAAATTCTGAGTTAGTAGTCACATGTATCATGCTCTGATCTAATGTTTTGCATTAAATCATGAATAATTTCAGAAGTCATCTGGAAACAATAGGATTCCTAACTGTGAAAATCTCAATTGCCTAGAAAATCAATTCTAGAAATAAGGCACAAAGTGGCAAATAACAATGTTTCTTGCTATTTGTCATATGTCTTATTAGAAACTAAAGGAAATAAGTAGAAACTGAGTGGCAGATACTCTCTAGTGAGTCACCAATGGCAATAATTTCTTCCTTCTTGATATAATGCTAGAATACACTTTTTTTTTTCAAGCAATTGAGAATTCTTCTTTAATGCCCAGGAACACCTCTCCCTAGTCTGACTACCATATAGGAGGAATATGAGCCATTAACCACAAAATACTCTCAAAACAATGTAGAAAGAGAAGATACCGTTGAGTTTCCACATCAATAGCCATTTCAGCTTACCAATGCCAGAACTTATCTGGACAGATCACTTATGTCCTTATCTTTGGGATTTATTTCTAAATATTGACACTACATGTTCACTTATTAAAGTGACTACAATGAGTTAATATAATATGAATCAATTTGAAAACTGTAGGTTTTGACTAGAACATATTCTTAAAACACAAGTGGAAAATAGGTATTTGAGTCCTTTTTTATGGAAAGGGAACAGATCCCTACCCAATCTATTATACTCTCTGTCTCAATTCTTTTCCTTTGTCTTATGATTAGTTTAGCAATGGTTAGCAGGGGTTGAGGAGATGGCAGAGTCTCTAGATGAAAAAGCCTAGGTCCCTGGATGAATGGAAATAGCCTTATTCCCACTCAACTTGCTTCTCTTCTACCGACTGTACTGAAAATAGTGAAACTGAACTTTTGCCATGCATTAAGCCACTGAAACTTATACTATTCACCACTTCTCAAACAATCTGCTTTGTGCAAACCAACAATGATGTTCTTCTATAATCATTGAAAATAATCTTTATGTAGAAAATCTATAGATTTTAATATAAAACAATAAAATTAAACTTTCTTAATTTATACTTACCAAAATCTATATTATGTCTTGGTTCTCAATGTAGAATATGTGATCATTTAGTGTTTGTTACAATTTACCATACAATTATTATTATTTTTTTTTTTTTTGGTTTTTTTCAAGACGGTTTCTCTGTGTAGTTTTGGTGCCTGTCCTGGATCTCGCTGTGTAGACCAGGCTGGCCTTGAACTCACAGAGATCTGCATGGCTCTGCCTCCCAAGTGCTGGGATTAAAGGCATGTGCCACCGCCGCCTGGCACTTTATCTCTTTTTTAAAAATGTAATACTTTTAGTCTTCCTAATTCTATGATATTGATCATAGATCTTTATGAGTTTCTCAATTAAACAAATATAGCTAGAAATACCTACCTTAAAAGTAATGAATCTAGTCTGTTGATTATAATGTAATATTTGAAATAAATAGGTAAGGAAAGAAGAGTTCTGAGGAAAGGTTGAAATTTCTGCACATACCAAGAAGCTCTCTCTTTTCATTCTCCATTTCTTGAGCAGATTCTTGTGCAGAAGCGCTCGGGTTTGCTGATAGACACTTATTTCTTTCATACTCATTTCACCTGCTCATTAGCTGAACAAACAGTAAGTGAACCAAAAATATAAGTATCATTGAAAAAAACGTTGACTATATTTCTGATTCAAATATTTACTACACTTAAAAACTATAATGAAAAGTTGTAAAATATTATTGCAACCCTTTATGACTAAATTTTACCTCAAACACATTCAATTTAAGATATTTGGAGGAATGGGTGATGGTGGGATGGAGGTTGATTACTGTCACACTTCTACAATAAAACAGAAAATTCTAATTGGAAAAAATATATCATTATGGTGCAGAACATAGATAAGTATATTTTAAAACAGAATTCAATGATGTGAATAAAGTAATTCAATTAGTTTCATTCCAATAATTCTTGTTTTTGTTTCTTGCATTTTAGTAAAATTCCCATAACTATTCAAATCAACAACAAAATCTGATTTCTTAAACTCATCTGAATGATAAATTATATTCATTAGATACAATCCTAATGAAATATGTTTGGAATATTTACCTTCAGATCAAAATAAAATAAAATAAATTTTAACTGAATAACTTTTACCAAAAGGATAATAATCCTTTATGATAATAATCCAGACTCAAAATTACTTGATTCTGACATGCAAGGAGAATAAGACTTCTCTCAATTTTGTGAATATAGATGCCACTAAAAACCTCTGAAAGCAGAGTACAAAATAAACTTTTTTAAAGAAAAAAATAGAGAAATTGAATGGAAAAGTAATTTTGCCAAGAAATTTTTCAAATAAAAAACTTTTTCAATTTTTATAGTCTTTAAATTTATTCTTTCCTAAATTTACATAATAAAATTTCGTACAATTTTTGCTTGGCTAGAATGGAAGCAAGCTATATCTGCTGTATCTACAAAATGAAATCTGGTTGGGGAAAAAAATAAAAATTAGCTCTTAAAATCACCTTAAAATATTGAAGTATCTAGAAGCATCTGAAATATAGATTGATCTTAGCAGAGCACAAAAAATAATACTTGTTTTATTTTGCAGAGCACAAAATATAATAAGCTTTACTTACTGTCGGGGAATGTTTGCATTCTTTGGAAGCAGTCACACGGTTCCCTTTTTTTTTTCCTAGTGCACCAGTTAAAACATTTTCTCTGGTTCCTTATATACTCCTTAAGTAGGTGGTTACTCTCAGCCGTTCTTACTTAGACTGGTTTCTGAAAAGGGATGTGGTTGATCTAAAACCCACGTGATAAATTTGTTTTGTTATGTGTGTCCCTTTACCCTATAAGCCAGTTAATCTGGGAAAATACTGTTCTGTGATTGGTTGAGAACAAAACAAACCCTACAACTGTTCATTCAGCCTTTCAACGGCAGGAAAAATAGAGCAAATGAGGAAAAATTGTTCCAGCCTGTTAGATATGATGAGATCAAGATGGAGAAGAGTACAAGAAAAGAGTAAAAATATTAACTAATCAAACTAAATCATTAAAAGTTGTATGAGAAATACTAATTCACGTTTTCTCACTACACATAGCTAAACACAGCTGTTAGTTTTCAACTTGGCAAATTCATGCTAAGTGGGAAAAATAGCCAAGGCTGAAAGTTTCTTTTCTTTTTCTGTTTTTCTTTTAAAAGTAAAGTAATCCATAGTCTGCCTTGGAGAAATTCCGACCGTTGACAAATGAAGAATTATTTTCCAGTGCAATTCTCCTACTCTGTTCACAGTCACATGGGATTTTATGAGGTATGTAGACAAAATAAAATATATTTTAAGTGACTAAAACACATAGAAGAACTCAGACTTTTATGTATCAATACTGGAATACCTGAAATCTATTCCATTCTCACTGCACAGTGTACCTGAAAGGCACTGAAAACTTTTTGACCTGCCATGGCAAACGGTAAAACAGGAAAGCAAAGTCCATGAATTGGGAAATCTCAAATATTTGACATGGCTCCTGATCCACATGTGTTAATAATCATAAATCAGAGAGATGTTCCAGAGTACAGGAGATAATTTTAAGACAATAACAGTTACAGTCATGATAATGTACTTGGCAATTAATTCTACTTTTAAAAGTAGACAAAAGTGAAATATCACATCTTTTACATTGAAAACTGTCAAAACAAACAAGGTAACAGAGGTGTTCTAAAGGTCCTAGAGCTGTGAAAAAAAGGTCACAAACACTTAAAAATTTGTTTCAATAGTAGAACAAATCTTTAGAAGCCACCTAAAACTATAATTAAGACTTCCACTAATTTTATTGCTATAGTTGTTTTATATCTTTATATTCCATTTTATTTATTTATTTATTTATTGGTTTTTTGAGACAGGGTTTCTCTGTATCCTTGGCTGTCCTGGAACTCATTCCATAGACCAGGCTGCCCTCAAACTCACATAGATCCACCTGCCTCTGCCACCTGAGTACTGAGATTAAAGATATGCACCCACCACACAGCTATATTCAATTTTAAAAATCATTTTCACTCTGCCTTTCTTTCTTTCCTTTTTTTTTGTTTTTTTTTGTTTTTTTTTTTGAGACAGAGTTTCTCTGTATAACTTTGGCACCTTTCCTGGAACTCACTCTGTAGACCAGGCTGGCCTCGAACTCACAGAGATCTGCCTGCCTCTGCCTCCTGAGTGCTGGGATTAAAGGCATGCGCCACCACTGCCCTGCCACTCTGCCTTTCTTTTTATTTTATTTTATTTTATTTTTCTATATTAAGAAATTTTCTACTCACTCCTCATGCTATCCACAGACCCGCCCTTCTCCCTCCTCCCACTCCCCAGCCCTCTTTCCCAAGCCACCCCACATCCCCCACTCTGCCTTTCTTAAAATCATATTAAACTTGCAGCTTTAAAACCAACAATTTCTTAATTATATTTACTGCTTTCTCACTGTTTTTTGTACATGCTTTGTTGGTCTCTTCTTTTTGCCATTATTTGTTTGAGACAAGTTCTCTCCCTGAACTTTGATCTAGTCTGTTCTCTTTATTATGATTAATTTTATTGTGGTGACACTATTCTTAAATTTGAATGTAAAAATATTCCCACAAATATAGTGACTTAACATGATGAGGAAGATGCAACCTCCAGGAAGGACACTGAAATATTGGGTAAATATATCTCTGCATTTGTACATTTTGATTTTTTCCCTCAGTACCCATTCTTTAATAGTATAATGTTATCATAGTGTGATTTTGATTTGCATTTCCTGACACCTAATGATATTGAACATTTGATCATACATTTATTGGCCATTTGTATTTCTTTTTCATAAGAATATGTGTTCATCTGATTGGCCTATTTTTATATTTTTAGATTGCTTGGAGTTTGTCTATTTGTGGAGTTTATTATGTAATCTGGATATTAATTCTTTGGCCAGGTAAATAGTTTGTAAATACTATATCCCATTCTCTAGGTTGTCTTTTTATTTTTAACCAATGTTTACCCTGCTATGAGGAGTTCCTTAAGGAACTGATGTGTTGTCTTAGGGTTTCTATTGCTGTGAAGAGACATCATGACCATGGCAACTCTTATATAAGAAAACATTTATTTAGTGCTGGCTTTCAGTTCAGAGGCTTAGTACATTATTGTCATGGCAAGAAGTATTGTGGCATGCCGTCAGACATGGTGCTGGAGAGGTAGCTGAGAGTTCTACATCTAGGTCTGTAGGCGGCAGAAAAAGAACAAGACACACTTCCTCCAACAATGTCACACCTATTCCAACAAGGGCACACCTCCTGATAGTGTTACTCCCTATGAACCAAGCATTCAAACACATGAATCTATGGGAGCCATTCCTATTCAAATCACCACATGTGTCTTACTAAAAAGCAAAAACTGTTTTCCAGATAAGGAAATGTGTTACTATCCTAACCATAGACTAAAAAAGTAGAACACAAAAGAAATAATTTGTGTGTGGGGTGTGTGTGTGTGCACATTCATGTGCATATGGGCAGAGAAGCAGTGGAAAGAATGTTCTAAAAGTATAAATAAAGATATAGGAAGAATCAGATTACCAGGCACTTAACAAATGCACAGTCTTAAGTATAGAAAAGTATCACTTGAGTTATCATATCCCTTTTTCCTAGCTTCGCTCCGTGGTAAGAGGTATCCCCCATCTGGTTGGCCCTTGTGTCAGGATTTTAGTAGACCAATGTTATTAGTTGATACACAGGCCTACTCTCTTTTAATAGTCTAATTTTTTCCTCCTATCTTATTCTTTCTCCCTGTGAGTACTTCTCAACTTACTCTCCTCAATCTCTATTCTTTGCTCTTTCATCTGCCTTCTGCATGGCCTCAGCTCCATCCTGGTGACTCAAAATGTGCACCATCTCCATTTCTCTGTGATCTCTCCTTCTACGCCGGGCGGTGGTGGCGCACGCCTTTAATCCCAGCACTCGGGAGGCAGAGCCAGGCGGATCTCTGTGAGTTCGAGGCCAGCCTGGTCTCCAAAGCGAGTTCCAGGAAAAGCACAAAGCTACACAGAGAAACCCTGTCTTGAAAAACCAAAAAAAAAAAAAAATTCTACAAAAGTTATCTAGTTATGTGTGCTTCCTCTTTCATCTAATGCACTAAGTCTAATACTAAAACTAGTATCTCTTCCAAATAAACTTCCTAGCCAGGAGTAGTGGTTCACACCTGTAATCCCAGCACTTGGGAGGCTTAATGAGACCAATCTCTGTGAGTTTGAGGTCAGCCTGGTCTACAAAGTGAGTTACAAGATAGCCAGGGAGAGACCCTGTCTCAAAAAAAGGTACAAATAATCTTCCTTTTTTAACTTTCTTATTTCTATCAGCATTGACCTTTTCAATTTCCTAAGCTAGAAAATAATTTTTAGATACATTCTCTTTTTTCATACTCCTTTCAATCTATGAAAAGCCACTGAATTTTGCAATGTATCACTTTTCTTCCAGTATCTTTGTCCAGTTCCTTCTGATAGCCTTAGAACACTTGACTAACATTTGAATATGAAGACATCTTAGAAGAATCAGTGATCCAGAAAATGATGTTCAGAGTGCGCTCATGAAAGTCATTTCTGGACAGAGTTTGAAAACAGACACTGGAAACCCATGAATGAGGATCTGCTAGTTAGGACTTTTTAACTTGTGATGTCCTTTTGTATATCTTAGCATTCATATATGCAGCATTACTTTTATATCAAGTTCAGGGAGGCTAAATGAAATATATAGTGAAATAACATTACAGAAATTGTTCATCACAAAGGAAGTATGCAGTAACTCAGAGCAGTGACTTCCTATCTGACAACCTGAATGAAAATCCTAAAAGTTATGATAAACCAGGAAGCAATATCAGGAAAGAACCAAGGAATTAAGGTATACATTTCAAAGTCTAGAAAGATGGTAAAAATGAACAATATGAAAGACAACAGATAATATTAACATAAGCTTAAAATGGACTAATAAAGGCTTGTCCATTTGTACTTTTAGGACTAGAGAACATGTCCAGAAGCTACAAAAGGAGGGGAAAAAAAACACATAAATCTTTGAATTTAGACACTTTATTACAGCATTAACTGCAATTCGAAAAGCCTCAAATCTTTGCTTTTGTTAAGTGTAAGTGTTACAGCTCTGAAGAGGAAGGTATCCTGGTAGTCAGAGATTAAGGAATACCTACATCTCTGAAGGGAAAGGAATCCTGGCAGTTGGAAGCCAAGGAATACCTACGAATCAGAAGTGAAAGGTATCCTGGCAGTCAAAAGCCAAGGAATACCTACAGCTTTGAAGAGAGTGGTATCCTGGTAGTCGGAAACCAAGGAATACCTATAGCTCTGGAGGGAAAGGTATCCCAACAGAAGTGTTATAGCTCTGTTCCAGTGGGAGACGGTTTTCCCTGTGAAGTGTTACAGTCCTTGCTCAGGAAAAGGCTTCTCTAATGCAAGTGTAGCAGGGAGGGTTTCCCCAGTGAGGTTGTCACAGCTCTGCTCCACTCTGCTCTGAAGGAAGATTGGTTACAGGTCTGCTCAGTTTCCCCGGAGTGTAACAATTCTGCTCCAGCAAGGGAAAGTTTCCCCAGCCGAAGTGTTACAGTTCTGCTCTGCTCTTGCTCAGCTCTGCTCTGCTAAGAGAATTTCCCTGCAGAAATGCAGCAGTTCTGCTTTGCTCTGGCGAGAGTTGTTACAACTCTGCTCCACTCTGGCAAAAGTTGTTACATCTCTGCTCCGCTCTGGCAAAAGAAATGAAAGGAAGTCCTTACCATGAACCCCAGAGGCTCTCCAGCTACACCCACTCAAGAAATTTATTGGGAGAGAGGAATCCAGGAGAGCAGCTGCCTCTGCCAGGGTGGAAAAGGGGCAGCCACAAACTGAACAGGCACAGAGCTTATATTGGGTTTCTTAGGGGTGGAGATTTTCAGGATGGGGATTGATAAGATTTCAATTTCTGAGCTTGGAACAAGCTCAGAGAATGGTTGGATTTTGTGCTCAGGGATTGGTTGGAGTTCAATTCCTGAGTTGGTTAGAGGCAGGGTGTGGATGTTTTCACTAGCCCTTTTTACCATACAGTAAGTAACACAAAGAGTTGTTGTTGAAAGTATAGTTTCTAAAGTAGTTTTTATCTACAGATGTTCCAAGATCTTCTGGTGATTCTATAGTAGTCAACTTGTTAGTATCTAGTCCATAGTTATCTTTAAGAAAAACAAAGACATGTTGATCATTGTTGGATGAAACCAATTACTACAATTAAATCTTTAGGTTTAGCTGTGAAATAAAGTATCAAATGGACAGGAGGAGTGGAACCAGTCCAAGAGAGAGGGATGCTACAGTCAGCAAAGCTGGAAATGTGGGGACATCTAAGCCTTTTAACATCAGACATGGGGTTACAGGATTTGAAATTTGCCCTGCTGGGTTTGTCTTCTTTCAGGTCACTATGCCCTCATTCCTCCATTTTATGACAGCAATACATATTTTGTGGCATTCTATGTTGGAAGTATGTACTTTGTTGTTGTTTTATTTTACAGGGGTTTACAAGAGATTATTTTGAGTCTCAGAAGATACCTGGAGTTGGCAATTTTAAACTGTGTTGAAACTGTAAAAAACTGGGGGGCCTTTTGAAGTTAGACTAAATGCATTTTGCATTATAATATGGGGGGGGGGGTATGTGGAATGTGGTGGTTTGGATGAGAATGGCCCTCAGTCTTAAACTGAAATAGTGACATTACTAAAGAGCTCCTCCTATAAACATTTTATGATGTCCTGAACTGGACTGATCTTTGAAAGTATAATTTCTAAAGTAGTTTTCATCTACAGATGTTCCAAGATCTTCTGGTGATTCTATAGTAGTCTATTTTTTTCTGCCAGATATTTTTGTCTAGCCACTACTTCATGGACCTAGGGCTATGTACTCATCACCACTGGTGTTAACCTTCTACTAACTTCCATGTTCTCAAAATGATAATCATTTGAGTGGGCTCAGAGTTCTCTCAAGTGAGAGTATCTCTCACTTTCATGAACTGTTAATATTCATATGCATCCTATAAAATGCAC